GAGAAGTTCAGTTCAAAAATCAGAAACGGCAGAGTTGAAGACCAAGTAGAGGCGGTTAGGTGGATTCTTATCTGAATAAGAAAGAAAACCAACGTAAGCCTAAAATTAATAGATTAAAAGTTATAACGCAATGGATTTCAGTATGGTTTCAGTAAATTCAGAATAATGATAACAGTTTCAAATAATCAAATTAACTAACCTATTTGTTTTCATTGAGGAATCCTAGATTAGAGTTCTCATGTAGAGAACTATAAGAAAGAAAACAGTGAAAACAGTATAAGGAGTGTTCGCTCGTACTTAAAGGAGTTAAGCGCATGCAAGCATGCAAGTTAATTCACAGCCCTAAGGCATGTGACATAATCGGTTAACACCGAAGCTCCAAGGAGCCAATAACCCTACGGGTTCCAAGCACTGGCATAAAGCCGGTTAAGCAAGATCTTAATTAAACGAGCGAAACACAGAAGTTCTAACATGCATTTAAATGGAACAAAATAAAATGAAAACACACTCGCACAAACTCAAATTAAGTAACAGTAAGCAAGAGTTAACAGAAGTAATAATTCTGTTTGAGCAAGAGGTCTTCACTTGGGTAAGGTTAAAGCAATAGTGATTAAGATCGAGCTAACGAGCGTCGACTTTGCCTCCTAACACGAGACAAACGATAAGCGTATAAACATTAACGAGTTAATTAGTTATAAATTTTAACAGCGTCGGAATTCCAACACAGGGTGCTGGAATTACAAATTAATAGAGTTTATCAAAAATTTAAAAGCAAAGAAAATAGCCAGAAAATTCACCATTTCTTAAAAAGGAAAACGTTTCGGAGACCAGCTCCATCATCAGTTCAAAACCTAAAACACAGGTACAAATAATTAGCAATAAATTCACATTGATGCATAAATCGTCAAATGAGAAACAAACAAGAATGAAGCAAACACGGGCACAAATCTATCTATTNATCGTCCCTAGTTTATCAATATAGTTGTGCGCTATGCGCATCTGCGTATGTCGGTATGACATCTCGCAACTTTTATACTAGGCTGGCGGAGCATAAAGGAAGGAGTTTTAGAACAGGAAACCTGCTCGCGCATCCCCCTCATTCAGCAGTACGCGTCCATGCCGAGCAGTGCAACGTGCCAGTGTCCGATAGTGATTTTCGAATTTTAGCCTCCACGACCGGTGTTTCCGACTTGCGAATTCTAGAGTCCCTTTATATTTTTAAACAAAAGCCTATTTTAAATGCCGCTAATAGTTCATATCCCCTCGAAATTGTAAATAGATAGATTTGTGCCTGTGTTTGCTTCATTCTTGTTTGTTTCTCATATGACGATTTATGCATCAATGTGAATTTATTGCTAATTATTTGTACCTGTGTTTTAGGTTTTGAACTGATGATGGAGCTGGTCTCCGAAACGTTTTCCTTTTTAAGAAATGGTGAATTTTCTGGCTATTTTCTTTGCTTTTAAATTTTTGATAAACTTGCGATTTAAGCAGTCAAGTGATTTTAATACTTAATAGAGTTTAAAGCGCTGCCGGAATTAGTCTCACAATATGCCGAATTTAGTCACACACAGCGTCGGAATTCAGGGATTTTGTAGGTTTGAATTCTAAAGGCTTTTAAATAAATATGGCAACAGTTTGTGATGTTTCATTGATGCTGGCGCATAGTGTGGTGTTTTGAGAGTGACATAAACCAATCAGAACTCGAGTTGCGCATACGGTGATATTTTTATAGCCATTCATTTCTTGCTACATCCTTAATGTGTCGGAATATACCGCGTTTACCCTAAAAGGGGATGGTTTTGAGCATTTTTTGTTAATAATTTCTTATCATGAAACATTTCATAAACAAGTTTGGGCTCATTTTAAAGGTCTTTGCAAGGGATATCATATGGCATCCCCAAAAAATTCTATATGCTATTTGTAAGGTGCTAGAAGCCATATAAAAGGCTCCTGAAGTTAACTGGAAATGGGGTAAAAAGGGACACTTGAAATAAAACTTAATTTTAAACATTTGAAGCATGCAGAGTGTACTCATCTATTACCATCAGTACTCTGAAGTCCTCCTTTTCCTTTTTACATGATGTAAATGTAAAATAAATGAAATTTTCTGTGATTTTTACTTGATTTTTCTTCATTGACCTTACCTTACCCATACATTACTGTACCGTCAACCGGGGCTACTCAGGACTTGCCGTATTAAAAAGAAATATTTGCCGTATTAAAAAGAAATATTTGCCGTATTAAAAAAATTTACTTACATAAATGTTGCACCCAGGTGTTGGCTTGAAAACTTTATTTGCAGAATTTACATGCCTCAATCCAAAAAATGGCAGCCCTTTCCGCATGGTAGGGCTACTCGGTACACACAAATGGTGTGAAATTATAAGCCGTCCTGTAAGCTTACAGATACAGAAAAAAATGCTATAAGGCTGCTGATATGAAGCTTGCAGTGGACAAGGTTGTTGTAAATGCTCAATGACATTTTCATGGATATGGTAATATCGCATCAATTATATGGTAATATCGCATCAATAATACGGTAATCAATGTATATGGTAATATCATATCAATAAAGGAAAAACGAGTAAAAATCACAGAAAATGTCATTTATTCTACCTCTACATCATCTACAATGAAAGAGGAGGACTTCAGAGTACTGTTAGTAATGGATGAGTACACTCTGCATGCTTCAAATATTTTGAAATGAAGTTTTATTGCAAGTGTCCCGAGTAGCCCCGTTTGACGGGGCTACTCAGGACACTCTTTTTTTTGCTTCTCGCACCTTACGAATAGCATATAGAATTTTTTTGAAGATGCCATTCGATAGCCCTCGCAAAGAGCTATAAAATGAGCCTAAACTTGTTTATGAAATGTTTCATGGTAAGAAGTTATCAACAAAAACGCTCAAAACCGTCCCGAGTAGCCCCGGTTGACGGTATTATTAATGTGATATTACTGTATTCATGGACATGCCATAAAGCATTGACAATGACCTTGACCACTGCAAGCTTCATATCAGCAGCCATGTAGCATTTCTTCTGTATCTGTAAGCTTACAGGATGGTTTGTAATTTTACACAATTTTAATTGAGCCAAGTGATTTCACTATAACAAAAAAGATTCTACTGTAAATGCAATTTTAGGGGTGTCCCTTATTACCCTGGGTGTTTCCCTTATTACCCTGTCTTGCAGAAATGGCCACCATTTTTTCCTGGAATGAGATATGCAAATTCTGTCAATCACATTTTTGAGCCAACACTAATGTGCAACTTTTATGTAAGCAGAATTTTTTGATATGACAAATATTTTTTCTGCTACAGACCTTAGCAGAGGTACTTTTCCAAAATCTCACTCTTCACACTTTTTTTCAGGGATTTTTTAGAGGTAATAAATCTATGATTTCTCAACTTGCTTTATGCTGCATAGATAGTAAAAATGTTGAACTTTACACCACTATTTTTAGTTTTGCAATATTTCAATTAGTTTAGCTGCTACAACAGTTCTAAAAAATGTTGGAGGACTGTCCCTTTTTACCCCGTTTGACAGTATCCATTGAGCAGTCTGAGCAGAGTTTGGCAATTGGCAGTTGTGTTGCCAAGATCCTCTCTTTTGGGGGCCTTAAGTGTTGCCAGTATTATTAAGGATTTTTTGCTTGAATTACCTAAACCTCCAAGAATTCTTGCCAAAAATAAATGTAAAGAGGTATTTAACAAAAAACTAGTTGGCAAGATGTTCTGAAGCCATGGATTTCAATGCTGATGTGTTTCCAAAGATCTCCAATTGTTCATGTGCATTCTCTGCACCCTGGATAAGATAGATACAATTTTCTACAATCACAGGCATTTTTATCCCATTCACTGGATGCAAGTATAATGGGAAATTATAATATAATAACAAAATAATATACAATATAATAATATAATGCAAGAATACAAATATGATGCAAACTTCTGCACAAAGCAACAAGTGCCAAAGTGAACTAATCTATGGAACAAAATTATGAACAAAGTAGGCTGAGAACAGATCAGGTCAAGATGCTCTCAACCTTCACTACATCAGCTCATTCAGCTGAAACAACAGGAAAGGATCAACAGATTAATAATTGGAAACCACATTTATTTGCAACTAGTATTTGAAGGAATTAACTTCATTTTGAGGCAATCAGTGCATAGTAATGACAGCAAGTAAACTAATTTAATGAATGAATCAGTAATCTCCCTGGCACATGAAATTCCTAGCTGTTCTTGGTTCAGCTCTATAAGTTTTGTATTCAGGCTGCCTACTTGGCACCTCTTGATCAGGGTTGCCACTCTTTCAATTCATTCCCATACAGGCAATTTTGATGGCTATCTAAGAATGCTTAACATGAGTCACATGTGCCATGGACTGCTGAGTTGATAATTTCTAAATCATTTCAGCAATAAATACTGAAATTTTGCTACAGTGCACGGTGTCAAGAGCAAAAGCCTGTATTTGAATACACTGTGTATTTGATTATCGGAAAAATATAATGTATGTATTCATGATAAATGATCAACTATGTGTTACTCATTCCTCTCAGAAATTCTACCATTGTTAGAATTTATCACTGAATCACAGCTGATCTGTTGTACTTGGCGTAATTTGTGTCCAAACTTCTGATAAGCAAAATTTATATGGTCTGTAGAAATTAACAACTACTAAAATGGCCAATGGTGGAGTGAAAGGGATTTATCCTGATTGTTTTCTAAATACACAACGAATGTCAACAATTGTTATTTTCAAATTTCTTTAATTGCTCTACTCAAGAATTGAAAGTGCGTGGCATGTAGGAAATTAAAAATGTCACATTGATATTTGAGCCCTGAAGCACAGTTTTTTAGATATTGCACATGCATCATATGTATTTGCCACCATTTTTTTGTGTAATGATAAAATGAATATTTGAATGTCAGTTAGTTTATTAGTGCTTTAGCCTCCATGTAATTTCTTAATGATATAAGAGCTGCTTCTGTGCAGGAGTTGGCTGACATCCGAAGAACTGGCATCAAGTCCTTCAAAGACATCCAAGTGGATGAGAACAACATCTTGCTGTGGCAAGGACTCATTGTGCCTGTTAGTATTAACATCCTTGAACTTTCTAAATCTGAATTTATAGAAGTAATAATAATTTACAGTAAATAATACCGTAGTTCTATTGGCAGGTTATGTTTCAATTAATAAGTTGGTTTTAATAAACTGAAATTTAATTCCTGAAGCAACAACCAAAGAAAATAATGAAACTGTGAAAAAATTCAATACAATTTCCTCACTCTTCTTTTTATTATTTTGACTTATACATATTTGGCTGTTTGAAAAGGTATTGAGTGATAGCCCTGATACTTCTCAGGTTAATTTTTGAAGGCTTAGTCTTAGAAATGCACAGTATCAAAGAAATACTCTAACACATTTTATATTGGACTAAACTGCCCTTTAATTCAAAGTTTTTATAAAATTTATATTAAACAAATATCACACATTGTCTTGGGTCATGAAGATCTTTATCAACCATGATTTTTTTGTGCATTGATTGATGCCAATTTAGAAAATTATAAAGTCATGGTATAAACTAGGTTTCTCCTTGTATCACTATGCTTGATGAAAAAAAATCTAATACTGTAAATTCTGCTGACATTTTTTATTCCGCTGCAATCTAAAGTGGAAAATGATCAATTTTCATGGCTGGAAGCTGGAGCAAATGTTTCCATCCAAGTATGAGTGATGAGTGTACAGCATTCCTTTCCCTTTATATTGGTGCCAGGCATTGGTTATAATCAAGTGCTGTCAGTTCTGCCTCTTTACAGCGTTATCGAAGACGGTTATTGATGACGTTATTAGTAGCCTTGAAAATTGCATTGGTTATGTTATCTTCATTGACTAAAAAAATGAACTATATGTATAGGTGCTAGACAACACTTTTTCTGTTCTGTACATGATATAATTTGCTTTAAAATCTTCTTTTGCAAGATGCACTTTTGAGCATTTTAACAAGATATTGAATGCATAGAATCTTCTAAAAAGTACCTAAGGCACGAAATTTTGTAATATTTCAATGTTAAAACATTTCATAAGCTTTTTGTTGAGCTAAAATAAAAATTGCCAAACATTAGGTTGTTGATGAAAAGGTCATTTACCTATAAATTAGGTCATTTATAGGTAAAAACCTACCACTAGTCTAGGCAGATGCTGACTAGCAAATAGTGCTAGTTGAAAATATTAGGGTTATAGACTATGGTAATGGGATCCTGCTAGGACGCCGCCAAGTGCTGCTACATGTGCTGCTCTTAAAAAAAAAACTGAGAGATGCAAAACTCGATGCATAATTTTTCCTTTCTTATAGGAATGTGTACCGTACAACAAAGGAGCTTTCAGGATCGAAGTTGTGTTCCCTGCCGAGTATCCATTTAAGCCGCCGAAGCTGACCTTCAAGACTAAGATTTACCATCCCAACGTTGATGAGAAAGGCCAAGTCTGCCTGCCTATTATCAGCGCCGAGAACTGGAAGCCTGCCACTAAAACAGATCAAGGTAGCAAAACAGATTTAGCAGTAGGATTTTTTTCGGTTTTTGTATACCTTGCGTCAAATCTTGTGCGTAGTTCATTTTCTAGTTCATTGTGCGTAGTTTATTTTCTTCAATAATTCTTATTACTGTCATTTTCTATTTCCTTCCGTACTATAGCACCATCTTCCACTTGCCATTAAAATTTACGCAACACTCGTGTATTTCATTAGGTGACAAATCGCCCGTTTTACACAGGGGCACGAGACATGAAGATCTAACAATGGAGCTAATGCCTGTTTCTACCTATTAACATTTCTAGTCACCATATTCGCCATGATATTATCATCTCAAAATTTCTCAGCGTGCGGGACAGCCAGCTGTAAAACTTGCCCTACGCAGTCAATTTCTATCGTTCATTTTTTGTAGATGTGCACGCTTGCTTTGCACTAGCCTAATATTTGAGATTTGGTTTCCACCAATCGAGGAATTTAGCACAGTATTCCTTTTACCAGATTATGATGAGGTAATTTAACAACATTAATTTGACTATTTTTTTTGCAGTGATCGACTCTCTAGTGCAGCTAGTGAACGAGCCTGAACCCGAGCACCCTCTCCGCGCCGACTTGGCAGAAGAGTACACCAAAGATCGCAAGAAATTCATCAAAAATGCTGAAGAATTCACCAAAAAGAACTCGGAGAAGAGGCCAGCCGATTAGGGTTTTTGTAGAAATTCGTTAGGCCTTAGCAAACAATTACTGGGATCATCTGTGACAGTTGACGATACTGTCCGTCTCGTAGCTTTATCATAAAAGGAACTTGTTTAGTTAGGATTATTGAACTCAAATTTATATCAATAAAGCGTTACGCTTTATTCTTGTACATTCATGATTAATTGACAACCGAAAATACCGAGGTTATTTTTGTTCAAGTGCACCAGGGATATTAGTAGTTTATGCATCTTATAATTGACAATCTAGTTTTTTTCGTAAAAACTTCAAAATAACGTTTGAACTTAGGCGCTAATTTTTTTTTTTTTATAAACATGCAAAAGTGTTTATTTTCAACAATGCCATGCGGTAGGTTGCAAATAACTACTGCAAGTCCTGGAGCTCTCAGGAAACTCAAAATGTTCACAGCAACAAGGTCTGCCAGATTTCCCTGCTTTGTAAGAGTTATGCCTCGAAGGCGGCAGGCAATTCGACTCAAATGAACACCTCCTCGCCAGCGCTGCTCGTTGGATGAAGCTGTGCACCAACAGTGATCTGCAGGCAATTTCTATTTTACGTGGTGATGTAACTCCGCGAGTAGTCGGCTACCTTGATGCGAGGCAGTCAGTCGCTTCCGGTACAGAGTTTGAATAGCATATTTGTGACGATGGCAGGAAGCAGAGTGCCGTTTCCTAATCCTTCTCGGTTATTAATTTTGTTATTTTGCTTCGAATGTGTGCGTCGAGTGTCTTTGTACTAAAGAATTTGCAGTTTCTTTGGCACTTATTTTTGCTTGCGGTGTCAACCCGGCAAATAGTGCTTCCGATTGCTGTGGTTAACTTATTTAGCTCCCAACACTTGTGGCCAGCTCGAACGTCGCCTTTGAGGACATGTTTGATCAAGTATATAGACATTATTGACGGCAGGACATTATTCTTTGACTACTCATTGCTTGTTTTATTTATGTGATCGTACCGAGGAAACTTTACGACACGAGACTTAGCTTACAGATTCGTACTTCACCTAGTTTGCTTTCGCGTTTATTATGCTCGTTCATTATCTTCGCATTCTGGAAATAATCTCTTGTGCATTTTGACCGTCCACGGTAGCATCCATCCCCACATTTGTTTGAAAAAAAAATTTGTAACCACCGTGCCAGTGCTCTCGATCCACCATGATGCTAAGTGTAGTCATTAGCATTCATTTAATGAATAAGTGTAAATCATATTATTTGCTAGTTCTATAAATACCATCAAGTGGACTTCTATCTGTACAATAACGTATCTTGGGATATGTTACGAATTTTAAAATTGATTACGTTGAGATCATTTTCTTTTACCCCGCCGACCTCAACAACTGAGAACCAATATTACTTAGTCCGTTCAAATGCCAGCTCGCGCCAGTGTATACATTGAATTGAACTCTGCCCCGCTCGTCCGCAAGTGTTCGATTTGAAACCCTACATTTCCCGCTCACGTAATTACCGTTGTCCTCTGCATATGATTTATAAAGCAACTAGTGAAAATGAAATCATGTTTTCATATAAATCCTGTTTTATTTTTTTCTCCTCGTCAAATTTACAGAGTAATACTAGATCATACAGAACAACCAGAGAAGGAAAAGAAACGTGAAAGGTTGGAGGCCAAGTACGAGCTATGAATTACGGGTTAGCAAATCATTGTCCAGGTGTTGCGCACAGTCCATGCTAATCGCACTCGTTCATTACGAATGCATTCTTCGTGGAATAAACTTCACGATTAAAGAGTTTTCAGCACCTGGTCACAAGCAACAGTTGGACAACCATTTCTGATACAACGGCGAGTTAACCAAGTTACACCGTTCGCCCCACAATGTACCGCGACATGCGCTCTGCTAAGGGCGCACGTCACCCAATTTCGTACTTCGTTGCCAAATTGTCACGTGATTTTAAGTGCTAATCTCTCTCCCAGAAAATACAAATTTGCCAAATAATCCTTAGCATGAAATAGACACAGCCGTAAAATGAAATAGAAACAGAGTATAGACACAGTCGTAAAATTCAAATCCGCTCGAATAAATCAGGCTACTTGTGATTCAGCAAAGAAAAAAAAATGAACTATTTCTTGAAGCCTGCATAGTGAGACCTAATAATAAGGAACCTTAACATCCATTATGCAGTGAATATATTGCACAGTGATCAAGTTCTTTTTGCATTGAGCTCGAGGGCTGCCATTAAAAAGAAAAATTAACCAAATTACTGCATCAAAAGTAAGAGCAAGTGTATAGATCACCATTTTTATTAATTTATTTATTCGTCCTAACCCAATTTGGCCCGACGAAAGAACAAATCAGCGCTACGAGCAGAAAGTGTGTCACTGTTTAGGCAATATGACCCATTCCCTTTTATCTGCACCCATTTCTGAGTGCAGATAAAAGGAAGTAATATAAATCGCGTAGGGAAATGACATTAGACAGGGAGACAAGTCGATAAGGTGTATCTCAAGCCATCATAAGAGGCAACCTGTATAGAAAATAGGAAGATTTAATACAAGAGGGAAGAACAAAGCTTCATGACGGTGAGGTGAGGCTCTACTATTCCTTCTGGCTGCCCTTCACTCGCATGTTGGACAAAAAAAAAGTAAATAACATGCAGGTAAATGATCACGATAAAAATATTTGAATTAAATATGAAACTCGCCAACTACCAGATAATAATAAGAAAATCTACAACTGAATGAACACGGCCAAGAAATATTTAAACCCAAGGATACACCAATAGAGATACACTTTAGCTCATAGATACACACATCTTAATAAGCTACAGGCCAAAGAAATACAAAACAAAACCACAACTCCAAGAACAACAGTGAAATATACAAAGCTAAAAGATATAACAAAATAAAATAACTTTCTAAATTAGCATCAGCGCATATTTGTAAATGATACGCTTATAAGAGTAAACCATGTGACGAAATTACGAGACCCGAGCAGCAGACGCAATGAGCTCGAGAAGCTTCCTTCAGTCCACACTGACAATAGAACTAAGAAAAGGTTATACGTATTCAATTTTATTGCAGAAAACACTAATTTAAAAATAACCATGGCAAAAATTCAATGAAATAAACATGATGTAAATGAATGATGAATAAATATGTATTCATCGTCATGGTTAGCGCTTCATCCGGCAACCAAGATATTTGAATCCGATTACACGTTCAGCTGAAATTCTTTAGACCACGACTAATAAACAACAATTTGCATAAAAAACTTGTAACTTAACTCCAACTTCCCAATATTTTACAAAAAAAAAACGGGCTATTTAAATAATTTATTTACTAATACGGAGCGCTTCTTGATTATTCAGAATGCATTAATCATGTCTATCCCGCAAATGGAAGACGCTGGCAAGTCACGTCCAAAATAACATGATAACCAACAATGATACTTGAACTATTTGTAGCCAAAGGCTGAAATATATTGATGGAAGCATAGCAGCTGTCATGAAATTATATGCATGCATAATGTAAGTCTTCTTTCAATTCAAAATTGTCAAACCAATATATATTGAGACCTATTAAAACTAGCCTTGTAGCTGGATGCAGGATTATTCTCGACGGAATTGGGAGCGAATAGTCCGCGCGTCTTCCGCTCAACATCCTGTAGAGTACTACACATGATAAAATTCCTATGAAAAAATCCTTAACTCTTTTGACTCCCATTAAGGTTTTAATAATATGCATATATTTATACAAAAACTAGTGCATTTGCTAGAGGAGCATAAATTCTACTAGTGGAAATCAAATTTACGGTTCGTTGCACACTACTGACGTGTGCGAAGGCCACGTCGGTAGCACTCGTTTGCACTACAGAGGAAGCAAGTATTCGTACAGGAAGAAGCACATTGCTCAAGAATTTGTGAATGAAACGAGGCTTTGAGAAACGAGATTTGGTGGGGAGAAGCTCGTCGTCCTTCGAATGCTGGCACAAGTATTCATTACATAACGATGCGGGACATGTAATATATCGCACAATGTTGATATCTAGTGGCTAAGATGCACATTAATCAGGCTCTTGGTGGAGGGGGCGCAGCGCCCCCCGCTGGAAAAGCCCTCCTCTGTGGGCCGCCACCTCTTCCTCTACGGGGGTTGGTTGGAGCGGTCCTGCTGGTGTTGAGTTGTTGAAACTGAGCAGGGTTGAAAAACATCGGAGCTCCACCGGCTGTTGAAGATTCGTCCTGAAAGTATACATGCGAACATCGCATTAGTTGGAGACACCAAGCGGGGCGAGAGGTCAGGCCTACCGCACCTGCGACAGCAATGGAATATGACATCAGAATGCGACAAAATTGGTGAAATATTCAAACATGAATCTAAGTAGATGTTTTCAAACGCGTGTGCAATATCGTACGAAATCGTACAATGGAAATGTTGTATGATCATTACTAATCTTTTCATAGGTAAACGTGAATCATATTGAACATAATAATATTTTCCTACGTAATTCTCGTTCATCACGTCTTGATTTTTTGGATTGCAAGGGGCGGTTAAGAGTGGGCAAAAACAGGCTGATGAAGATCCATGCAAAATGTTCTACTGCGTGCATCAAGATACGATACTAGTCTTGTTGATTGCTTTCTCGAGCAGAGGACGGGCAGAAGAGTTGATACAAAGAAACAGAAGCTAACTAAACTCTCACAAATACTGCGGTAGAAACTCAACGGAAGAGGAATGGTAAGTAGCCCCCGTACAAGTATATTCTACAAGCATCATAGAAAAAAGTACAACATTCCCGATGCTCGCTCATCAAAATAAATTTAGGCTTATGATAAATCCTGCGCTCACGGCCCAACATCAGGTGTTGTGCGCTCGTAAGGCCAGCTGAGCAGCACTAACGTGAGGTGTTGTGCGCTCATAAGGCCAGCTGAGCAGCACTAACGTGAGGTGTTGTGCGCTCATAAGGCCAGCTGAGCAGCACTAAAGTGAGGTGTTGTGCGCTTATAAGGCCAGCTGAGCAGCACTAACGTCAGGTGTTGTGCGCTCATAAGGCCAGCTGAGCAGCACTAACGTCAGGTGTTGTGCGCTAAGCCCTTGAGTACCTCTTTGGCGGGATCATCGGCATCGTCGAGGTCTATGGAGGAGCTGTCTAAGCGCGTCCTGCCTCCCGCTGGGGGGTTTGCGGCGACCTGTGAACAAGGGGCGGCTCACCCACGCGTTTTATCCTCACAAAAGAAACTTTCTTAAAGGAAAACTCAAGCGTTCGATGGAAACTAACGGGATTTTCATAGGAAAAGATCTAGCTTAGCTGAAGCAGTATGTATACTCCCTCAGAAAGATTTTTGAATAGTCTAAGAAAAAATTTTGCTAACTAAAATATTTATTAAGGTTAATCTAATGAAGATAAGGGAAAGAAAAAGACGTAATTCATGGAGCAACATGAATTCACTAATAAAAAAGTCGGTAGAAAAATCGATAAAATGGAAAATTGCTACATACCAGCCAAAAGTTCATAATACCTTCTCCGATAGCAGCAGACAAAGACGATGGACAAGCAGGACAACTGCAATTATACATGTCCACGTGAAGTAAAGAATTGGAAGAAACTGAAACATCACTTGTAGTCTCAATAAGAAAGCAAGCGAGCATAAAACACTGATACCTAAATCCCATAGGAGAAAATCCAGTTTAGGCTTTTTCTTGCCGCTCACGGTGATAAGTTAACGTAACTAGTAAACTAATTTTAACGGTAGTAGGTACGAACCTTAAATGTTTAAAATCTTTCTAAAACAGAAATACCATCAAGCGAGCTGGATGAAATCGAGCACTGGTAAAAACCACCGCACCAGTAACTACTGGACAACGAAGTACAGCACCAAAAACTACTGGACAACGAAGTACAGCACCAGTAACTACTGGACAACGAAGTACAGCACCAGTAACTACTGGACAACAAAGTACAGCACCAGTAACTACTGGACAACGAAGTACAGCAGCAATGACCTCTAGAACCACAAAAAAATAGAATACAAGCTCGAATTCCTGGAAGAACTACTTTAGGATACGTTAGCATGCAAATGAATGTAAGTTATGCAACAGGCATTTTAACGTAGGGGCATATTGTAGGATTTTTTTTTACTTTGTAGGTATCTTAAGAGGTGATCACATCGGGAATAAAGTTTTAAATATCTAAACAAATATATACACAATGTAATTGGCTTGATCCACTTCATGTACCATGACATTATTGGCCGACAACGCTTAAACACTGGCGAGTGGGGAACACGACACACATTGTGGGGATGCGAGACTGCTATGCGCAAATGAAAATAAGAAACATAAATAAGATAAAAATAAGCGCATAAGAAGAGATTAAAGAAATGAATTAAAAACGTAACAATGAATCAAAACACGGATCGAGAAGCTCGTGTGCAGGAAGGTTAGGAGCGACAACTTGTGTCTGTACTATGAACACGAGGAGCAGTTAGTAACATCCAGGCAAGGTGCGAACAATTTGCGACTTGAGTTTAGGTGTTAGGTTAGTCGTAAAGAGATTCAAAGGCAAGGCTGCGAGTAATTGAGAATTACAACAAATATAATAGATGAAGGTGGCACTATAGAAGATGAAACGTGAGCTTCAATTTGGTCTTAAATTACCTGGTGAGGAGCTGCCAGAGGCTGCTGTTGCTGGGGAGGCATCATTTGCTGCTGTTGTGCAGGCATCATTTGCTGCTCTGGAGGCATCATTTGTGGCTGTTGCTGTGGCATCAGTTGTGGCTGTTGCTGAGGCATCATTTGCTGTTGCTGTGGCATCATTTGTGGCTGTTGCTGAGGCATCATTTGCTGCGGATGCTGAGGCATCATTTGCAGCTGTTGCGGAGGCATCATTTGCTGCAGATGCTGAGGCATCTGAGGAGCAGTCATCTGTTGCTGAGGCACGGGTTGCTGCTGCTGAGGCAGCAGAGGAGGCGCCATTGTACTGACAGGCTTGATGCGATCTTTTTCATCCAAGGGGTTCACGTAGCGAGATCCTGCGCACGTAGGAAAGACTTAGTCCTACATTCTCGTTATCAACACGCAGGATAATTCTACGCTCATGATGTACACGCTAAACCAGATTTATTCTATACAGCACTTGAGTACCAGAAATATATCATAGTCAAGCTCTGTCTATACCTATACCTCGTGCCGTACGCTACATCAAATATATTGTATAACAGCACTTATTGTATACATCACTTGTGTACCAGGAATACGTATATCATTGTCGCGCTCTATCTATACATATACCTCGTGCAGCACGCTACACATGTGTCGCGTTTATGTATAACCAACTCATATAACATAAATACATCATAGTCCCTGTGGTAATACATACGTCGGGGCCCCGCCCTGTTAGCGGTGAGGGGCAGGGAGGAGGCGGAGGCCATGGGGGGCGGGGGAGGAGGGGCGTCGTTGTCATCGCTGCCGTCCGTGTTGACCCAACGCTTGCGCTCCTCGTCCCATACGATCTGCCGTGTACACGTCATTAATACGGGATCTGACGTGTACATGTCATTAATACGGGAGGTGACGTGTACATGTCATTAATACGGGATGTGACTTGTACACGTCATTAATACGGGATGTGACGTGTACATGTCATTAATACGGGATGTGACGTGTACGCGTCATTGATACGGGATATGACGTGTACACGTCATTAATACGGGATGTGAAGTGTACACGTCATTGATACGGGATGTGACGTGTACACGTCATTAATACGGGATGTGACGTGTACACGTCATTAATACGTGATGTGACGTGTAAACGTCATTAATACGTGATGTGACGTGTACACGTCATTAATACGTGATGTGACGTGTACACGTCATTAATACGTGATGTGACGTGTATTACGGGATATGACGTGTACACGTCATTAATACGGGATGTGACGTGTACACGTCATTGATACGTGATGTGACGTGTACACGTCATTGATACGGGATGTGAAGTGTACACGTCATTAATACGGGATGTGAAGTGTACACGTCATTGATACGGGATGTGACGTGTACACGTCATTAATATGTGATGTGACGTGTACACGTCATTAATACGTGATGTGACGTGTACATGTCATTAATACGGGATGTGATGTGTACGTGTCATTAATACGGGATCTGACGTGTACGTGTCATTAATACGGGATCTGACGTGTACACGTCATTAATACGGGATCTGACGTGTACACGTCATTAATACGGGAGGTGACGTGTACATGTCATTAATACGGGGTGTGACGTGTACATGTCATTAATACGGGATGTGACGTGTACACGTCATTAATACGGGATGTGACGTGTACACGTCTTTAATGCGGGATGTGACGTGTACACCTCATTAAATGTGACGTGTACACGTCACTAGCAGGCTAATCCATTAAACATTCCATCAACAATCCTCCATTATGTCTTCCATTGAATTAATAACCTCAATGAAGCTTTATGAAGATCAGCGAGGCTATCCAAATTCAAGCCTTCATCTCTGAGTTCACGAACGTTCAGCGTGAACGACGGAGTGCAACATGGAGCAATCGTTGATAACTGATTATTATTGATTTTAATGGCTGGCACAGCACGGCACAGCGTAGCACTACACAACACACCACAGCACTACACAGTACAGCACAGCACTGCCCACCAGAGCACAGCACAGCACAGCACTGCCCACCAGAGCACAGCACAGCACTGCCCACCAGAGCACAGCACAGCACTACACAACACAGCACCTACACACCACAGCACAATACAGCACAGCTCAGCAGAGCAGAGTACACTACTAAACCACCATGCACAGCACAGCATAGCACTACACACCACAGCCCAGCACACTACAACACTACTCACAGAAGGGTTCTTATCATCAGGCAGCTTGGCCTGGTTGTTCTTCCATGTAAAGATACGCGCCAGGAAGCCCTTCTTGTCGCCGCCCTCTGTCGCCTTGTTGCCGTTGTCATCATCCTTGCTTTTGTTGTTACCTTCGTTGTTGTTGTTGCTAGACGACGTGCTCGCTGGCTCCAGCGTCTGTAATGCCCGAAGACTTTTTTAACCTTCATAAACATATTCTATAGAAAATAGAATAAATATGGAATAAAAAATATATAAAAAATACTAGTACCAAGATATATAATGGGAAATTTATTCATCATCACGCTCAAGACAGACCGTGAAAACCTATTTCGTAATAACGTAGCACCGTTCGTAATTAGCGAATGGTGGGTACCGAATATGTACGCTTTTCAAAATCGAGGATACTCTATTACCATTTTCTCAGAAAATTTATGCATTTTTCAAGAAGCTATAAATTAAGAGTCTCTTCTAGTTATTGTAATATATACTCAAAATGCACGAAAAAATTTCGCGATCTAGAGATAAGCGTTCATCATGTATGATAATGAGGCCTGTTTATTCTTAAAAATCTATGATAACACGAAGCAAGCTGGTCAAATTCAGAGTTCGATAGCTACACTTTGTATTGTAAACTGTAGGAATAGCTGTAAGAAAATATGAAATAATATACGTATGGATTAACGTAAGTAGTAGTTCAAGTAGAGAAGTAGAAAAGAAAGAATACAAATGTAATGGTGTAAACGTCTCTGCTGTACACTGCACGCGCGATAATGAAGAGCTAGTTAAGCAACTTCGCGCACGCTAGCCGTTTGCGCTCATGTTGATGGTAAAGACAATGTGCCTAGCAAACATCGCCGCTGTTGCTGCTGCCTTCAAACTTATTCCGAAAATATTAGAAAAATTCAACCAGTAAAAATTTCGAAAATAAGGCAAAAAAGCACGATAAATAAAGACAACAGTAGGGATCAATACAAGATTATGTGTCCACATGGCATCATAGGCGCATAGATCTACAATGAGGACTAGTCTACAACATGCACACGAGATACAGATGCCGGTCACATAAAAAACGGTGAATCAGAGCCTTAAGGGCCCCTCAGGTAACAAATACCCAGAGTTCATTTAGGGACACTATTCAAGGCCATGCTGGAAGCACCACCTTTGACGTCTACCAAGCGCCGCTCACTAGCGATACCAAGAAATAAACTGAGCTTCCAGGACTCGAACCCACGGCTAGCTCTTCTCATCTCGGTGCAGCTACCACTGCGCTACTGTGGACATGCCGGTTACATGAAAAATGGCAAAACAAAGATGCAGGTCACATGAATAACAACATAACAGAAATTCAGGCTACATAATTAACGAAGAAAAAGATATTCAAATAGCATAACGACGACGAAACAGAAATGCATGTAACATAAATAACAATATAACAGAGAAACAGATCACATAATAATGACGCAACAAAAATGCATGTGATATAAATAACGAAATCATACAACTTAGGAGTAGGATTTACGAAAGCTTCGCATCTGCGAGGCTGTCGATCACCGTACGCTGGATACACGACTTGCAAAATCATAAAAATTAAGCACGTACACAAGGATCCAAGTACATCGATACGGAAATAAATGGTAAATAAACATAATCTGCAACTATTGATTGTTATTTGTTTCAATTGTCGTAATTTCGTTGAGCAATGCACATAAAAGCCGTCACGGCAGCCACGTTCAGGCACGTAACAATGCAGGATTGTGTTGCTCATGAATTATTTCTCTGGTTGAATTATTCCATTGGAAGATGATAGACATCAAGAAAATTATTTCAACTGCTCGCAAATGAATTTATTAATATGCATAAAATAACTGCAGTGAAGTATAGAATACCGGTACCAGGTGTAATGTCAACAACACTTCATTGTTGCGTTGTGGCGCACACTACGCTAATGCTACGCAATATTACTGTGCAATAATGCTGTACATTAGTGCTGTACAGTACGGCTTTGCAATACACAAAACCTATAACGACGACAATGGCCAGACGGAACAGGCGTCATGTGTCCGAAAGCTCACATAAGAGCAATACTCACAAAATAAAGTCAAATCTAATCACTAAAGTACAATGCATTTCTGGTGCAATATAAAAAAATATAATTTACATTAAAAATGGAAGGTGAATGATACTCGAAAAGGAAAAAAAAGTTTAATTGCAACGTAACAAAATAAATGACAATTATGGACGACAACGTCAGTGCCGGCATGCGAGGCTACAGACTCGGGTGTTTATTGTAATCAAATAAAATATAAAGGCACTTACAGTCTAAGGAGATATCAAACGACTCAAAGTTCACTTACAATTTAGATAATAACAAGGTATTGCAGGGCAAACGGGCAGAGTGCAGTGTCGCTAACAAGGAGGCGTTAAAACTCAATTGTTCTGAAACTCTCTTGGTTCTCACAAAATGGGAAGTACATTAGAATATTAATTTTTGAGAGCTTTGAACAATGAAGTCATGATTGCCTTTTCCTGCATAGATTCTCCCTACTAAACTCGAAATACAGGTAAAGCGACTTGTCAGAGTAAAATTCATTAAATTGATTGTTGCAGCGGTAAAGGAAGTGCACAGATGTGAGACATGCCATTAAGTTATAAAAGTAAATAGATAAAATAAATAAATGAATATTATTAGCCTTGTAAATTCAAGACTAGTGACATGGAGAACAGCAGCAACAGCGAATCCAGTGACAAGAACCAACTAGTTTCTCAATATTACCACAGATATATTCTTAAAGTAATTGATGTGAAGTTAACTTTTTGTGTTGACATTGAAAAACACCGATGTGCAGAATCTATTTATGACAATAGATTGCTTATGGCTCTTGTAAGCTAATCCATCCTCTACCTCTCCCTTTTCTCTCTTTGATGGAAGGGAGTGGCAGTAGAAGGGAAAGCAGTGAAACGAGAAGTATAGTGATAGAGGCAACGAAATATTTTCACTTAGCACTACCTGATCGTTCAACTGTTGCTGCTGCTCTTGCTGCTCAGGCCATTGCTGCTGCTGTTGTTGCTGAGGCCATTGCTGCTGCTGTTGTGGCTGTTGTTGGGGCCATTGCTGCTGCTGTTGTGGCTGTTGTTGGGGCCATTGCTGCTGCTGTTGTTGGGGCCATTGTTGCTGCTGTTGTTGGGGCCATTGTTGCTGCTGTTGTTGGGGCCATTGCTGCTGCCGTTGTTGCTGGGGCCATTGCTGCTGCTGTTGCTGGGGCAATTGCTGCTGCTGTTGTGCTAACTGGTTGATGTCTTGGTGCCAGTTGTGGCCCTCTCCAGATCGCACGTGCGCAGAATAGTTGTATTGTTGAAGGCAGTTCTGATCTTGTTGGGGCTGAGCTTTCATCTGATCACGCGGCTGTTGCTGTTCTTCATTAGACAGCTGCAGTCTTCGTCTGGTATCTTGTTGCAACTGAAGCTCTTGATCATTGAACTCTTGCTGAAGCGATGTGGGAATATGCAAATTGTGTAAATCTCTTGTCTGTGTTTCAAGCGAAAGCATTTCAAGGTTTGCGCTGCAGGCTTGTGTCTGGTCAGGCAGATCAGTGGCAGGACTGTCAGTCTTTATATCCTCGGACACACATGAACTGGGATGTTCAACACATTTATGCTGAGTATCGTTGGGATTCTTCGATGGTGTAAGTTGTTGTCTCAATGACGTCGGAAAGGTATGAGCAGAGTCTGGGTAATGTCTCACAGTTGCCGCGGCAGGGGAAACGTTCTGAAAACCTAACGAACTTTGCGGGAGTGGCTCCTGTCCTGGAGTGCAGGGCGTTGCTTCACACGACAGAGAATTATGCACAAAGGCGACGGGTTCTGAAGTCGGGAGCTCAGCCTCACCGAAGCAAGGCATCTCTGAGAAGGCAATTGTTTTCCTGCGACGACAAACCTGCTCCCCAGACTCGTCATGAGGGAGGGTGACTTCATTTCGCTGTCCCTCATTCTCCACTCGGTGGAAGCTTACAGGAGGACTCTGTTGCTGGAGACCAACATCGCCAAAGTTATCGTTTGTTTCGCAGTCCACATCAGAGTTTTCGTAATATTCTTCATCATCATCCACCTCGTCTTCATCGTAATACTCATCGTCGTCTTCCAAGTTCTCGTCATCCCCCAACGAGTCGCATTCATCGTCGCCTGTGTCCTGGTAGACCGCAGGGTGAGTTACCATCCCCATCTCCATGTTGCCGTCCCTACGTTGTCCCGAGGTCCCGACGTCGCATCCCCACTTGCCGCCTTCCCCACACCGACCTCCCCAGGTGTGAGGGGCATGGCCAGACTTAGAGCGTTCAGCTACACTCAATGTAACTACATCGTTCTGGTTAACCACATCTTCCGCACACAATGACTTAGCAAGATCCTGTGCGTTAGGACATGAAGGTTGGATCTTCGAGGGTTGCGCTGGAATATTTGATCCGCACGAGGTTATCGTAACAGGTTTACACAAATTTCTGGATGGCAACTGAGTTGTGGCCGCTTCAGGAGTGCGATCAAGATTTTTACGAATTCGATCATTAGAGGCGACAGCTGCTGGAACATAAGAACCACTCGACGTCTTTTGCGTCAAATAGGCCGCTTTTCGCGAATTAGCGGCAGTGGTCCCTGCAAAATCTGCATCGTAAGCACCCACATTCTGTTCGGTAGTAGGAAGAGATGCAGCAGCAGCAGCGGCGTGTTGTTCGCAAAGGTTCGGAGCAACGCAGCAGAGTTCGTCAATTTGAAAGGTTCGAGGTACACCTCTGGGAAACTTTGGAGGTCCAGTCAAGAGACTCATGAAGCTGTTACACGACTTAGGGTAATTGTATCGAGCTTTTGAACGCGCATCATCATAATCATCCTCGTCGTCAAGACTCCGGTACTCAGCTTCATTATTTCGATCACACGCACCTGCATCAGACTGTACTCGATCAACATGAGGGTTAGTGCCAAGTTTCCTTGTGCTCAGAGGTTCGTCAATTGGGTAAGATCCCCCGAACACCAAGGGAGTCCACGGCATCAAATCTGCTTCCTCTTCATCTTCCACGAGCTCTGCGTCTTCTCGAGACGCTGCTGAGTTGGGATCATCAATACGCAATACATTAGCAGCTCGGTGAACTTTAGCTGCTCTGCCTGATGCCACTTTCCTTTCATTTGGTTTAACAATTTTTGTTGCGATGTTCGTAACCGCAGCCGTAGCAGGAGTGGCGCTGGTGCGGCCAAGCCTGCGCCGTGTAGCATCGTTGATGTGCGCGCGCAGGGATGCGCGGCTAAAATGCATCCTACGTGCAGGATCGTTCACAGGGATGCTCTCTGTCTCGGACATCTTCACCGAGAGTACGTAAAAGCATAACATTAAAAATGTAACTCAGTACTCACTGCAGTGAGTGACAGAGAGCGCATTTTCTCGTCGACGAAAACATGAAGTCACGGACGGACAGACGGACGGACATGGCGAGCACAATTGTGCATTTTTTTCATAAATGAGATAATGCGCTAAAAATACCTTAAAAAATAAAATTGGAATGAAATTAAGGAAACACGCATGCTGAGAAATTTATTAAAATTGGAATAGGGAATTTATTGGAAAGTTGTGCACTTTTCACACGAAGGAATCAAGTTAACAGTGATCTAGAAAAAAACTAATGCATGAGCATTAAAAATTCCATCACAAATGGGCGAGAGAAAGACTAACTGTTTCCAGACGGACATTTAACTCAACAAAGACGTCACAGAGAAAAGTTTGAAAGGAATATAATATAATTATTCCATAATCGAAGCTAAAGTGTGGAATGATCGATGGAAATTAATCGCTGAGAAGAGTTGGGCTAAAATTAATTTTCAAACGTTCAAGATTTGAACATTAGTGATTAATGACAACGAAAAATTCAAATGAAATTATGTTAAGAAAATTAATCGAGCTTCTACAAAGTTCACCCACGCACGGCAACATGAAATCGCGGGAATAACGCAGAAACGGCGATTTTCGGTCCTGTTCTGACTGACATTTCTGGCTGACATTTTAATGACATTTCATTTTTAATGGCTGGTCAGCCACAACAGCTCAGAAGTCGTCTTATTTTCAAGACTTGGGGTCAAACAAGTTCAACTTAGTCAAGATGATAGTTAATGAATGAAGCAAATGAAGACCACGCGAATAAAGCGGCTGACCAACACGGATTTAAAACATAACTTGGATCGCAAGACAAAGCGTCAGTTGCTCATTGAGATATGATGGGGACATTAGAGGCGTACACTACTAAAACATTCTTGGCCTTTTGCAGACAACAAAACACATCGTCACATCCCGAGATGAAGAAAAAAAACTGAAGAAACACACTATTGAACTAAAGCCGACAGAAATTTGGTAAACAATGGATGACAGATAATAAGTCCAGCATGAATTCAAACATAAAAAAAAAATACTTTCCCTAACCGAAAGTTAGACAGTACAAAATGTTATTTTGCAGCGATGAGCAGAAGGTTGCGTTGCCAGTGTTATGCATCGTACAAATACATAATAATAAAAACTAGAATTTGTAATTTGTACGAATAAGCTCAGGAACGTTAATAATTTTCATTTATACGAATATCATAAGAAAATAGAAATGCACGATTTTTTTCGAATATCATTAAGAATGCTAGAACTTGTAATGTATGTATCTAAAGCCCATACAATCTTAAAGTCGTCACAATATAGATAATTTGGAGAAATAGAATTCTGATTAATTATCAACCATATATGTATGTATCTAGCGTCCTTCTCCCTCCTCCGTTACTTCAGTGTCTTGCCAAAATCAGTTTATTAAACAGCTTGAAAATTTTTTTAATTAGTTATAGCAAACGGAAGTTTCGGAACATCACGCTCTCAAATAATGCACCAGAGAAGAATAAAATAGCAATTAAGAATGTAAATGAAAGATTCCTGAGAAAGATGACGTGAGCAGCCAGCAGCACATACCTCGGCTTGGTGAGCTGGCGAAGGCGGTCCAGAAGTGTCCGCCCCTCCTCCGGTGTAGGGAAGACCTGAGAAAAAAGTTTCACTTAGCCACAATTGTTACTCAATTTCCAGTTAAATATCACTCATCATACAATTAATCAAATCAAAATCTATCGCGGGGACTTCACTATCAATGTAATTAGAAGAGATCACAGGTTTAATGAGGTTTATCGTCACGACTTCTCGAGTCCAGTTTATGAATAGATTGAAGATTGATAATTCAGATTCACTGGAGAACCGACACAATATTGCCGAAGTGGTTGCATTACTCACTGGCATAACCCCACGCGTCTTGAGGGCTGCCCTCGTCTCCCTCGTCAGGAAAGTCAGAGGGTAAGCTGGTGTAAGCGTCGCCCTCTAAACCATGACAGGAAGGCATGCGGTTAGTGACATGGGACACGCATGCGGTTAGTGAGCGGTAACAAGTTGATATATTAATGTTAAATAATAACTACATTACGGTTAGTAAGCGGATATGTTAATGTTAAATAATGATCGACATTAACATGCAAGTCAGAAATATCCTGCTGAACTAGTCTTTGAATCTTGCCCTAACTATGTTGTCAGTGTGTGAATATTACTGAGCGATCAGGCCGAAGCGTCGAGTGCAGAACATACAAGTATATGAAGTAACGTCCAACTGTTGAACCGTCATTGTTCCGTGACTGTTGAACCGTCAAGCAACCGCGAGTTATTAGAAATTATTACTGATACAAGGGTGAATGATTGTGATATTGCATGAGCAATATCACCTCCTCAAAACTGGAAAGCTGCAGTATGTGGGCAATACTGCGTGAGGCATAAAATAAGTTAGCACTCGGCAATAAATCTGAAGGGTCCATGTAAATAAAATAGAGCAGCATCTGAAGTATTGGTAGTTGGTGTTGTGCATACCGTAATGTTCTGCTGAGTGTTTCATCACCTGTCCTGTTCTCACAGCAATATCTACAAGCGTTTGCCCAATCGCAAGCAGGCATAAGAACGAGGAGCTACAATACGACAGTAACTTTTCTACAGCTATTAACCAAACACAAAAGTTCCACAATGGACCCGGAGTAGCAAAGAACGTGTTAGACTAACTACAAATTTGAACAGGAACTGAAAGTAATAGGAACGAATAACAATGACTGAAGAAGACATCATTTAATCTGTGGATTATTTACACTTTAACTCTGTTGTGTGGCTAATTGTCTCTTTGTTGTGCATCATTAATTTCATCAATTATACAACTTAAGGCAAATTTATTATTATATTTCAGTTCTTATTCTTCAATTAATTAATTTTTCGCGGTTTAAGTCGCATTAAAGGAATTAATACGACAAAGAGGTCGAAAGCTAAAGTTAGTTAGTTGATGAAAAGCATTATTTTAGTTCCCAAAACCAATTCATGCATTCCTCACCATACGGGGAATAACTCATGGGTTGCTGCAGCTGGGGGAGGTTGGGGACATGTGTGGGGGTGAAGTGGGGGCTGCTCTGTCCGCTCGCCTCCTCCCCATAGCCCCCCATGGAGGTGTCCACTCCATTCCCCACCTGCACATCATGACAACATCAGACAAGGCTAGCATGATGATTATATCATCAAGATTAACATGCACATTTCTTAGGCTGCTTATAAACTAAAAAGAACAACATCAGTCAGCGGACATCGCTGAAGTTTCTACGGAGGAGCGCATGGATATAACACCCATATTGCACGGTCTATTTCACCCCGTAGTATATATGAACTGAATTACCGTTAGTTAATTTATAAGGGCTATTTAAAGAATCTCTGGTAAACAGGCATTTATGTCTCCCAAGCATAATCGTAAGAATTGTAAGATTAAAGTAAATCGTAAGATTAAAGAGAATACCAGATGCTGGCTACTCCACTGAAGCACTTCCTAAAATTCATTTATTTACCGATGTCGATTAGCTCGCATTGATTGCACGAAGTAGGCCTAAATGCACGGCATTGCCTTCACTGTATATGACTAAATGCACGGCACTGCTTGCACGAAGTAGGCCTAAATGCACGGCATTGTCTGCACTGTATATGACTAAATGCACGGCACTGCTTACACGGAGTAGGCCTAAATGCACGGCATTGTCTGCACTGTATATGACTAAATGCACGGCACTGCTTACACGGAGTAGGCCTAAATGTACGGCATTGCCTGCACTGTATATGACTAAATGCACGGCACTTCTCGCAAGTCTCATCTTTTACTTGTTAACTTCACATTACTCACCCCAGGCTGTCCGTCGTAGGCGCTGTGGTTGGAGGGCAAGTGCGGCTGAAAGCTGAAGTTTTGAAGTACGTCTTGAGCCGCCGTCGACTGAAATTACAAACATAACTCGTTACATGCACGCAAAATTATTCCTATTAATGTAGACAAAATGATTAATTTAATAATTTTCATAGAGAATAATTGAAACGTTACCAAATATTGCTCGTTGGGCGATTTAATTTTCGGCGAGCATAATTAATAAGGAATCATTACATCACGTGAACGTCGTCAAATAAACACACAAGATGAATACAATATTCAAGATAATTCAGACATTGAAAAATACAAGACAAGCTTCAATTTAGTTAAGATAACTGCCAAATTTATACAACACACTGAATCAACTATCCCCTGAAAATATAAATCAGCAAGAAAAATGGACTGCCAACCGTGTAAAAGACAACATAAGGCACAATTATTAATTTATTAGAAATAAATATGATAAATTCTAACGTTAAGGTGTGAGGGGTCCTCGACAGGGAGGGTGGGGATCATCATGGGGGGTGGCGGGGGCTCCGTGCTGCCGTAGGGGTTCACGTCGTCAGCGTAGAGGTCGTGCTGGGGGGCGCTGTGTCCATCCTGAACAAGTGACATCAATCTTATTTCACGGCATAGACGTTATTTTCTATGGTAATTATATAATATTTCAGCAGAAAATATAATTTATTAGGTCGATTCACGAGGAAAGTTATTTTTCCCGGTATGAAAAACAGTTTTTACAGCATGCATGAAAAGGCGAGAATATGACACAACAATTTTGCATTTCTATCATCTAGGTCTTGCATATTAAGCTATCAAGTAGGTATATACTATAGTATACGCTTTCAAGTATATACTATATACACTATCAAGTATGTATATTCCTATCTGCTTAGGTCTTGCATATTACGCAAATCAAACGTTACGCAAACCGACGCATTTTGTAAGGACGTTGAAGTTGTTCTCGGAGTAATTATAAGTTTTGATTTCAAATCGCATCTAGGATAGCTTTTGTATGTGCATATGCCATTTCCAAATTTCAAGCGTTGTAAAACTCTTCATCAAATTAAGAATGAATATTGAATATTGGAAACGTCGTATTCCAGTAAAATGTCTTTTAGTAACCTGCCTATTGACATCCTAACTCCAGCAAGAAATATTGTTCAGTTTATTGAGAAAAAAATAACAATAAGGAAACTGTAAATAAAAAGCAGTGGTCTTCAATCAAACGCAGATATACGTATATACGCGTACTCTCGATATATACTTGTACTTTCGATATACTATACCTGCACTCTATATATACCTGCACTCTATATATATATACATGTACTCTCGATATATACATGTACTCTCGATATATACGCGTACTCTCGATATATACGTGTACTCTCGATATATACGTGTAGTCGTGTACTCTATATACAAGTGAGATGTAATGCACCTAAGGAAGTGTCGCGTGGTGCATGCCTTCCTTCATGACATGACATAAGCGCCACCACGACGCTGCGTACCTGCAATGCGTCTTGCGACATCACAGCGTTGGCAGCAGGTGGCCCAACACTCATGCTGGTCATAGCGCCGTCTGTCTGCTCAGATGGAGCTTCCTGATGCAGGTGGTGCTCCTCCAGGTGGTGCTTCTGATCCAGGCCCTCCAGATGGTGAGTCTGCTCCAGGTCCTCCAAATGGTTCTCTTGCTTCACATGGTGGCTGCCATCGGCTGATGGCGCTGGTGGATCCATCGTCTTCGAAACGAAACGAAAATATTACCAGGAATTTAAAAGCAAAGACAATACAACACAAATTCACCATATCTTTATAAGAGAAAACATTTCAGAGTCCAGCTCCATCGTCAGTTCATAAGACAAAATTCTGTTCAGAAGAAGTTCAGTCCTAGAAACACATATACAATCAATTAATAAAGTAAAATGCACTGTCAGGTTTCAATAACGGAAAATAAACAAATAAGACAAGAAATTAACGCTAGTAAACGGCCTATCTATTTACTATTTCAAGAGGAATGGGGCTAAAAGCGGCATTCAGACTAGGCTTCTGTTTGAATATATAGGGATTCTAAAATTCATAGATCAGTTACACCGGATGTGTAAGCTAGAATTTTAAAATCACTATCAGATGTAGTAGTAGTAGAAGATTTACTAGCGCTTCAGATAGCTATCTATTTCGCGCCGGAGTTGAGGTCTTCAGCTACGTCAAAAATGTTTGGTCTCTTCCGTCAGCAAGGCTTCACTATCAGATACAGAGGTGTTGCACTGCTCGGCATGAAAACGTACAACAGAATGAGGTGGATGTGCAAGTAGGTTCCCCGTTCCATAACTCCTGCCCTTATGCTCAGCCAGCCTAGTAGTATAGAAATTGCGTGCCGTCATACCGACGTACGCTGATGCGCACTGCGCACAACTATATCTGTAAACTAGTGACGATCGCATAGGAACAAGTAGGGAATCCTTATACCTGAATTTTGTGTTATGAACTGACGATGAAACTGGACTCCGAAAAGTTTTCTCTTATAAAGATATGGTGAATTTTTATGGTATTGTCTTTGCTCTTAAATTCCTGGTTAACTTGCAATTTAAGCAAACGAGTGATTTTAATACTTATATCCAATGAGAATATTACCCCCCACAGAAGTAAAGCAATTAACATCATGCGAGTTTAGACACGAGTGCCACACACACGACCAGCACCTGCACGAGTGGCACACACACGACCAGCACCTGCACGAGTGCCATACACACGTCCAGCACCTGCACGAGTGCCATACACGACCAGCACCTGCACGAGTGCCATACACGACCAGCACCTGCACGAGTGCCACACACACGACCAGCACCTGCACGAGTGCCACACACACGACCAGCACCTGCACGAGTGGCACACACGTCCAGCACCTGCACGAGTGGCACACACACGACCAGCACCTGCACGAGCTGCTGCTGCAGGTGGTACTTGTAGTTGGCGAGTACAGTGAGCCACTGAGGGTCAGGCATGTCGTGCGTCTCGCCCTCCCCCAGCAGGTAATGGCGGTCGTGATACTTGAGACGCGTCGACAGCTCCAGCAGCTCGGCCACCAGCAGTAGCAGGTCCTCCCCCAGGGGCACGCCAGAGCTGCCTGAGGTCACGGTGCCTGACACCACTTCGCAGTACCTAAAGGCGCAAGAAATAATGTATTCAGCAATTATATCATTACATGTTCACTTGAAAATTACAAAACACAATCCTGAGCGTTTTGATATGCCACTTTATAATATTTTGAGTATGGTGATAACAAAGCACGAATTTCATCCAACTTATTGGCGAACTTCAATTTTAGAAGCATTAATAAATGCACATTTTTCAAGTTAACCTATGACATTATTACATTAAAAGTCATTTATAGCAACTCATGCACAGTAAATTGAAACTGCCTACTGGGAAAAGCTCCCCGTGATATAATGACACCCATTGAACCTTGCGTATCCATCGCTTGTTCATCCTCCCACTGGCACCCCTCATCCATTCCTCCCACCGCCACATCCTCTCCCTCCATCTGAAAACCTCCCATCAGTAGCACCTTGTAATATACTGCCATTGAACCTCAATATATATTATCAAGGGCAGCCGTAATCTAACGTCCCTTATCCTCTTCACCTGATAGCCTCCTCACAGTAGCACCCCTTAATATACTGCCTGCCATTGAACCTTAATATATATCATCAAGGGCAGCCGTAATTTAACGTCCCTTATCCCCTTCACCTGATAGCCTCCTCACAGAAGCACCCAGGAATATACTACCATTGAACCTTAATATATGTTGTCAAGGGCAGCCGTAGTTTAATGTCCCTTATCCTCCCCACCTCCTCACAGAAGCACCCGTTAATATACTGCCATTTAACCTTAATATATATCATCAAGGGTAGCCGTAATTCAACATCATATATCCCCTCCCCACCTGATAGCCTCCTCACAGAAGCCGTACTCAGCCAGCACGGCCGCGTATCTCAGCTTGAACTTAACAAAGCCGCTGAGCGCCACCGCGGTGCTGGGGGCGGGCGCCGCGCCGCTCGTGTCTGTCGCTGCTGATGCCAAACTCAGCCCGTACTCCAGCACCTGCAATGCAATGTTATTTGTACATCTGACATGTAACGTTATTTGTAATTTGTGCACCTGCAATGTAATGTTATTTGTAATTTGTACACCTGAAACGATATGTTATTTACAATTTGTGTGCCTGAAATGCAATGTTATTTATTATTTGCATATCTTAAACGAAATGTTATTTGCAATTTGTACACCTGCAATGCAATGTTATTTGTAATTTGTACGCCTGCAATGCAGTGTTATTTGCAATTTGTACGCCTGAAATGAAATGTTATTTGCAATTTGTACACCTGCAATGCAATGTTATTTGTAATTTGTACGCCTGCAATGCAGTGTTATTTGTAATTTGTACGCCTGCAATGCAGTGTTATTTGTAATTTGTACGCCTGCAATGCAGTGTTATTGGTAATTTGCACACCTGAAACGCAATTTATTTGCAATTTGGCGTCGGTCTTCTTTCCAGCATAAAACTTTCTCTCTAACTTCCCTCAGCAAGCATTGGAATGACTTGAATAACTCTGTTTAATTAAGTAAATAACCTCCATCAAAGCAAAAGTTAGACAAAGACCCAGGCAAGTCTAAAATAAAAATGAGACAAAAACGAAAATATAAGTGAATAGGTGAAGAAAAATGCTGTGAGAGAAATACCTGTAAAATTTGATAAAAGATTACGAGTTTAAGGACAATGAACTGGAAGATTAGAGATAAATTGAAGTTTGATTAAATAAATTATTTAATTTAAGAATTCAATTTAAAATTTATTTAATTTAATTTGAAATAAATTCAATTTGAAATTAATTTAATTTATTTCTGAAACAAATTTAATTTAATTTAGAGTTTATTTAATTTATTAATATTTAACTAATGACGATAAAATGGTGAACTGGAAGATTAGAGTTTGATTAAAGTTTGATTAAGTAGAAGACAACAGACCTCTGTACACTGGAGGGCGCAGAGGGAGGCCTCACTGAAGGGCCTGAAGAGGCTGGGGTCGAGGCCCAGCAGGTGCAGCTTGTGGCCCCACAGCTGCACGCCGCCCCCCATCAGGTAACATACGTGGCCTGGTGTTGGTAATACAATTTAATAATAAAATAATAATAATTGAAATTAAATCTTGTCAGAACGCCGCATCCAAGCTCAAACTTGGGATCAATCACGTCATGTTCATGAAAACACGCTAGACAAAATATTAATTTCCTTCTGATACATACCATATAAGCAGGTACATTACGGTTATCTTTATCAAAATATTATACATAACATACGAACATATTGATTAAGTTACCCTCCAGTTCAACACGCTTGTATCTAATAACCCTCCTGTTGTTTTCTTCTCTATGCACCCTATGTCTTCAGTATTAAAATCACTTGGCTGCTTAAGTCGCAAATTCACCAGGAATTTAAAAGTAAAGAAAATAGCCAAAAAATTCACCATTTCTTATAAGAGAAAACGTTTCGGAGTCCAGCTCCATCGTCAGTTCAAAACCTAGAACACAGGTACAAACAATTAGTAGCCTAAAATTCATTCTGAAATCACTATTGGACACCGGGACGTTGCACTGCTCGGCATGAATACGTACGGCTGAATGAGGGGGATGCGCAAGTATGTTCCCTATTCCATAACTCCTGCCTCTATGCTCTGCAAGCCTAGTATAAAAATTGCGCGATGTCATACCGACATACGCAGATGCGCACTGCGCACAACTATATTGATAAACTAGGGATGATCGCATAAGAATGGGTTTCCTTCACAATTTGTGTATACTCAAATTAAGAAGTTCTTGTCTAAACAATATGCTGAGGTGGTTCCCGAACGTGACGACAGGAATTGTGTTCATTGTTCTTTTCCTTACTTTGGCCCCGCATCTGAGACGATGGCAAAGGAGTTGAAAGATCTATTCTCTAAATACCTCCCAAATGTAAATCTTAATGTATTGCTAGTGAACAATTTTAAAATTAGCTCGTTTTTCAAGTACAAAGATCCTCTCCCTGTTCTTATGCAATCATCCCTAGTTTATCAATATAGTTGTGCGCAGTGCACATCTGCGTATGTCGGTATGACATCGCGCAATTTTTATACTAGGCTTGCAGAGCATAGAGGCAGGAGTTATGGAACAGGGAACATACTTGCGCATCCCCCTCATTCAGCCGTACGTATTCATGCCGAGCAGTGCAACGTCCCGGTGTCCAATAGTGATTTCAGAGTTTTAGCCTCCATAACCGGTGTTTCTGACCTACGAATTTTAGAATCATTATTTATTTTCAAACAGAACCCCAGTTTAAATGCTGCATTCAGTTTTTATCCTCTAGAAATTGTAAATAGATAGTACTTTCTCTACATGTTATCTCATTTTTATTTGTGTTATCTTCGATTTTAGTTCTAATGTCCTCAAGTTTAGGTGAATTGTTTGAATGTGAATTTTAGGTTACTAATTGTTTGTACCTGTGTTCTAGGTTTTGAACTGGCGATGGAGCTGGACTCCGAAACGTTTTCTCTTATAAGAAATGGTGAACTTTTTGGCTATTTTCTTTACTTTTGAATTCCTATGTCTTCAGGTCATGAGAGTTAGGTCATTTTGACCTGAAGACCACAGGAGGGTTAAGCAAAATCTGATTGTCTGATAAATAAAAACCTAGCATTATTTGTAGTTGGTAAACATTATCCAACCAGCAATTAATATTTCAATATTTATTAATTCTTATTGACTAGGCAATAGATCAATGAGCTGGAAGCAGCAGCGGTTCTTAGACATTTCAGACCCAGAAATTACTTAGATGATGGAAATGTTATGAGCAAAAACTACGCTGTGGATGGACACTTGAATGGAAATGTTACGAGCACAAACTGCGCTGTGGAATGGACAATTATATGGAAATACTACGAGCACAAACTACGCTGCGGAATGGACAATTAAATAGAAGTGTCACGAGCACAAACTACGCTGTGGAATGGACAATTAAATGGAAGTGTCACGAGCACAAACNAATGGACACTTGAATGGAAATGCTACAGCAGCAAGCAAGAAAATGGACACTTGAATGGAAATGCTACAGCAGCAAGCAAGAAAATGGACACTTGAATGGAAATGCTACAGCAGCAAGCAAGAAAATGGACACTTGAATGGAAATGCTACAGCAGCAAGCAAGAAAATGGACACTTGAATGGAAATGCTACAGCAGCAAGCAAGAAAATGGACACTTGAATGGAAATGCTACAGCAGCAAGCAAGAAAATGGACACTTGAATGGAAATGCTACAGGAGCAAGCTAGAAACTGAACACTCGAATGGAAATGCTACAGCGGCAAGCAAGAAACTGAACACTCGAATGGAAATAATACGAGCGCAAACTACATTGCAAAATGGACTCTTGAATGAAAATGCTACAGCGGCAAGCAAGAAAATGGACACTTGAATGGAAATGCTACAGCGACGGGCAAGTAAATGGATGCAATGAAGCGCCCTAGGCCAGCTCGTGACCTGCGGCGACGTCTGACGTGACGAGGGCGTCCCCGAGGGCGACGATGGCGGTGAGGTCCTTGGTGGCGGCGGGTGACGGGTTGGCCACGAGAGTGGCGAGGTGGCGGCGCCACTCCCCCCACCTGCTACGGCTGTAGCTCTGTAATAAATTGTAGCTCTGTAATAAAATATAACTCTGTAATAATTGAAACTCTGTGATAAAATATCCTCCTTGTAAGCTGTCTGTGGCGCAAGAATAGAAACTGTTTAAAACTCAGGGTACATGAATGAATTGATAAACTGAATATCCTGTTAGTGTAGAAGCAGCTTAAAGTCCTTTTCTGATAGCAAGACTAAATGAACTGACGAGCTTGTATGCTGGTGGCAATAATGTAGAGTCAATTATATTTATATAATTAAATTTTTATACGTGTATATTTTATATTATAAAATTATAATTTATTATATAGCATTTTATATACTGTAATTTTTATAGAATTTAAAATCAACATGTTTTACAATTGACTTGAATATTCTATACTGTTTAAACGTAGCAGCCGCGTGTAGCAAAATACAGATTTTTCACAATAATCCCAAGCGCAAGTTGAAAAACGTCGGCCTTTTTCGACCATTTCTAGCCAACTGAACGCTCTAGTTAATTGAACAGCCCTAGCCACAGGGAAATAATGCAACATCTTACAAATAATAAGGTAAGTAACGTTAAATCTTGCAAGTAATGATTCAAATAATGCCACATCTTATAAATAAGGTGAGTAACGTTAAATCTTTTAAGTAATGATCTAAATAATGCCACATCTTTTAAATAATAAGGTAAGTAATGCTAAATCTTGCAAGTATTGATTTAAATAAAGCCACATCTTATGAATAATAAGGTAAGTAACGCCAAATCTCCTATGTAATAAGACTTTTAAGACCGAGGTGCTACAGACCTTGGTGACATCAGGACGCTTGCCGTTGACGTGCTGCACGAGCGTGTGCAAGACATGTTGTGGGGCCAAGCACTGCATGAACGAGGCATACACGCGCCCCACCACCGCCTGCTCCATGCGGCTCCCTATGGCCATGGCGTGGCCCCACAGTCGCTGCTCGATGGCCAGCTCTATGGCATCCCTACGGCGCCCTAAGCACACCAGCTCCTCCAACTGGCGGTCCACGCGCTCCAGCTGCTCCTTCGTAAGCTGCGGCAGCCAACGGGTCACATCCGCCTTTACCTTGGGGGCAAGGGTGTCCACGGGTCCGTTGGGACCCACAGGCTGACCGATGTTTATATTTGATGATGAAGAAGCCAGGGAAGTATGGCTCACTGACGCGGTAAGACGGCCAACCGAGTCTTCATCTCGCATCATAGATCTTCTTCCTTCGTCTCGTCTCTCGCCCTGATCATCGTCTCCTGCTGTGGTGTTGGGTCTAGACCCAGCACCATCGTCCAGGTTCATGTTCGACAAGCCCCTGGACACGGCGGCAGTGATGAGGTCTTCTTGAGAGACATCGTTGGCGCTCTCTACAAGCAAAGCTGCCAAGTCTGTAGAGCAGAGTTTGCCGTTCTGGCGCACAAGTAGAGTGAGGTAGCGCCATAGCAACGCTTGTGATCGCAGTTGTTCATGCTGAGTTCTGCTGCAGAGGTCTCGGTAGTGATGATGCTTTGCCTCACAGAACCGCACCACAACTTCCTTGTGAGTGTCCTCTCTGTAAAATAATATTAACTACACTTCATTGACTATGAAATAAATATTTCATACATACTTTACTTCAGTAAAGTAAATAATGCCTCACATTATTGTGAGGCATAGTTAAGTAATGCAATGCAACACAGTAATACCATACATTATGCAATGAGCTGAAGCAACCAGTGGCGCAGTGTAGAGTACAACACAAGCATCTATTATATAACAATAGGCTAGTAGTAACATACAGCTATAGGTGAGTGGTAATATAAAGCAATAGACACTCCAGCGTGGCCTGGGACTGCTACGACCGAAACGCTTACCAATAGTACAAAAAGAATAGGTAGTATTTGAAGCAATTCTATGTCACGATAATTGCTTCGTAGAAGAAAAATAGTATTACACTAATAATTAAAATTATAAATTAAAATTAATTATATATAATACCGTAAAATGGGGTAACTTAGACCACTTTTTTATAAATGATGCCATTTTTTTACTAGCTAAATTAAACTTGAATTGAAACATGCAAAATACAGGTCTATACTCTAGCTTCGCTCACCATAAATTGCTGGCTCCTGCCTCTCATAGTCTTTATGTAATTTCAAAAAAAGTGATGGTCTTTGTTACCCCAGCTCTTGGGGTATCTTAGACCGGGTGTAAAATCAATTATATTTTCTGGTAAAATAACTCCAAATAACTCGAGGTTTTGGTGCATTGTAGCAGAACTCTTCTAGTTACATATGCAAATGACAAACTTGAGGAAAGTGTCATTGTTTGCAAATGGGGGGCACCGCCCCATAATGGGGAAAATTTGACTGCCAAATGGCAGCCCTGACAGGGTAATATTGACTGGCTTGGAAATTAAGCTAAAATTACCATATATAAGACTCTGTAGTCTGAAACAAAGAAAAAACATAAATAGGCTGTCAAACATAAAATATGTTATATATGGTAATTTTATATCAACTTCCAAGCCGGTCTATGTTACCCCATCAGGGCTGACATTAGGTGGTCTAAGTTACCCCATTTGGGGGCGGCGCCCCCCATTTGCAAACTATGACACTTTCCTAAAATTTGTCATTTACATATGTCCGCCCGGTACCTCAGGGACTAATTGTGAAATACTCATTCAACCATACCTCGGTGAGTTTAATTCATTTGGAAGAAGATGTAACTAGAAGAGTTGTACTACAATGCATCAAAACCTGGAGTTATTTAACCAAAAAATAAAAAAATTGGAGGGGGTACTCTGACAGGCTTTAAATAATAGCTTTTTTTGTGGGTCACATTTTTAATTTTTTAACCTATTAGATATGCATACTTTTTAAATCTTTCTATTGCGCTATGTAGCCTCAGTATTAGGCCTTCAATGCCCATTGACAGAAATTTTCTATGTCAAATATGTAGTTTTTGAGTTTTGGGGGTTTTTGTTAAAAAAATGAAAAGTGGTCTAAGTTACCCCGCCGGTCTAAGTTACCCATTTTACGGTATATAATATATATTATAATATAATATGATTATATATATATACACCGGTATTGTATATATAATTATATAAAATTAATTATAAATTAAACTAATTAAAAAAACACAAATACTAATAATACTATTAATAATACCAATATCAATAAAAATAATATAAAGAGCACTGACACAGTAGGAGGAATGATAATAATAATATTACTGTTATTATTATTCGATGATAATAATATTATCATCGAATATCATCGAATAATAATATTATCATCGATAATTATTAATAATAAAGAGCACTGACACAGTAAGAGGTCCAGGGAAGGCCTCCAGCGCGCGTATCTGTCGCCTGCAGTCAGGATCATGAGCGAGGACGTCTCGTATGTTCATCACAGACAAGGATGATGACTCAGGCATCACCAGCAGCAGTTGACTGGTGGTGGTGAAGCGTGTGATGACGTGCCTACGGGAGTAGCGGGGAGGGGTGAAGCGCTGTGAGGGGGCGCGGGGGGGCTCAGCTGAGACACGGCCACTCATGTCCCCGCTGGAGGGGGGGGGGGAAATAATTCAATGTTAACAAGTGACATTTGAGGAAAACTAAAATAAACAATGATGAAGATCAGAAACATAATAATACACAATAATACAAATTAAAAAGAATTATTAGAGGTTAAAAAAATACACAAAAATAAAGATCCGTAAGATAATAATACACAATAATAGAGATTAGAAAAAATATTATTGAAGTTTAATCAAATAAACAATAATAAAGATTCGAAATTAATGATAAAAAAATTGGTGGGAATAAATCCAATTTAGATTTTTAAAAAAAGCATGGAACTGAAGAGAGAATCAACAGAGCTGGAGATCATGAATGATTAGAATGACCACTTGGCTGGGAATGGTTATTTTTCTAATGACCATTTCAAGCACCTCACGGAGTGGGAATGTTTGGGGAATGTCAACAAGATGACAGCAAAGAGGGAAGAGATGGAATGATTGAAGTGTTTGACGGTATAATTGTGATGATCGTGGTTATGCTGGCGGTATAATGTCAGCAATATATAATGACAACAGCACAACAATAATGTGATAGTAGCGTTGGTGGTGGTGGCTCTAAAGGGACGATCAGCTTCGTCACAGGAGATCTACAATGACTGAAGGAACAATCAGTTACTTGGAAGTCATTATACTGGATAGTTTAGTTGATAGTATTTATAGATCGTATGAACGTGCACGATCTATAAAATAAAGGTAGGTATTTAGTAGAGCAATATATGACAGACGATGCTATAAGCGCAAGTTGCTTCTGCAGTGCGATAGGTTCTGTCGAAGCAGTAATGCAGTACTACCCCGAGGGTAAGACCTACCATGCACTACCAATAGTACAGGAACTACTGCTGATCAGACTAGTACTAGACGTTTGTTAGACGTTTAAAACTTAATAATAATAATCAAGGCAGGGAATTGGCACAAGCAAATACCTTTTTGTGTTTAGTACTAGACGTTTGTTTACACGTTTACAACTTAATAATAATAATCAAGGCAGGGAATTGGCACAAGCAAATACCTTTTTTGCGATGTTGAAGGAGGCAGGAATTGCAAGAGAGTTCTGAGCGCCGCCAGTGAAATGCAAGCAACAGAAGTAGACTAACGAGTAAGAGAAGTAACAGTGGGAGCAATAAGTGCGTGATATATACGGTACCGTAGTAGAACTAGTAACAGTAGAGGTGAGCAGTATCAGTAGTAGTCGCAGTTAGTTGATGAGCAGTAGAAGCGTATAGTCTACGTTTAAGGCTAAGTAGATAGTCCAGTAGAAGCGTATAGTCTACGTTAAAACTAAGTAGATGGTCCAGTAGAAGCCTAGTCTACCGTAAGACTAAGTAGATAGTCCAGTAGAAGCGTATAGTCTACGGTAAGACTAAGTAGATAGCAAACCTGGTGGGGTAGTAGGGGTCCTGGTGAGGGGCGTAGATGGCCGAGGGCTCGTAGCCCCCCAGGGACGAGTGGTCATGAAAGTCACTCACAAACTGACTACTGCAGCGCACGCAGCGAGTGAGGGGGCGAGTGTGAGGGGGCGAGTGTGAGGGGGCGAGTGTGAGGGGGAATAGCGTGTGAAGGAAGAGTGACAGAGTGAAGCAATGTATGAAATGCTTCAGTGAATGAGGGGAGAGAAATGTTATGGCCGAGGGCTCGTAGCCCCCCAGGGACGAGTGGTCATGAAAGTCACTCACAAACTGACTACTGCAGCGCACGCAGCGTGTGAGGGGGCGAGTGTGAGGGGGCGAGTGTGAGGGGCGAGTGTGAGGGGGCGAGTGTGAGGGGGAATAGCGTGTGAAGGAAGAGTGACAGAGTGAAGCAATGTATGAAATGCTTCAGTGAATGAGGGGAGAGAAATGTTATGTGGTGTAATAGAAGTGAAGGTTGGTGTATAGTGAGGAAGTGAGGGTAGTTTCGTAATCAGTGCACAAGAAAAGAAATGTTTTATTTGGAGTTTACAATTCAAGGAAAAAATTACAGAAATAATAACATGATGATGTAACAAGTGCGTGTGATGATGCGCCGATGGTGGTGACAATGATGAAACCAATACGCACCCACAGCGTGCAGATGATGGTGTCGATGGTGACATTGAAAAGAAAACATTGCAAGTCAGTCAACAAGCATGTAACTTAAATAACCTTTTACTGCCACTTGAAGTCAGGCAGGTATAGCTTAGTGTCTCAGTAAACTAAATTCTCCACATAAAATGAGTGTGTTCTGTAATTAGCACAACTCTCGTGTGTTCTCACATCAGCAATGGGGCAATGTTATTTGTAATTGCGGTCAGGGTATCATTTCGTGTTGGATTACTACTCGATGATAGTGAAGTGTTAGCCCATTCAACACAACCGAGCTCGACGATGAATATTATTGTGCTCAACAACACGCTATTGTGCTCACAACACATTATTGTGCTAAACAACACACTATTGTGCTCAATTATATATTATTGTGTTGGTCCGAGGTACAAATCGCAGGTTTAACACTCTCTACAAAAGCGCAACTGCACATGCAACACCAAACATTCAACTCTAAACAAACCTAAACCGAGTGACGGCTAAACTAACCTAATCCCAAGTGCTAAGAGTCACAATGGAATAAGTCTGTGCGTAACAAGAAGTTATACAAACAAAATTGTTGCTGTGCACAGCAGAATGAACAGCAAAATATGAATAATTTCTATGCGCGAAAAAAATTAATTTTAAGATCGATTGCTTGCATACAATTCATTATAATGTAAACAGGCCCTTGTAAATAACAGGCTGCTGGTACACTGCAGATTTGAACGACATATCTTTTCATGCACTAACTTTTGCAGGTCAACAGGTGAATGCTAAGAAAACTTGTACCATAGCCTACAAACCTGTTCGGTTCGAAGGGTTATGACAAATCCTCTAAATTAACATGGAAACCAAACTGAATGCTAAACACCACTCACACTCTATAATAAGACATATCATCTAACCCAGACTTGAAGAACTTGGACAATACTCGGGGTTCATAAATAGTAGTAAGGAAGATCCCACTCAAAGAAAATAGGGGGTTAAATACAGGTCATTGACCTCCTCCCCAACCCCACGGCAGCAAATTTTTTACGTAAAAAAAAACGTTTCATGCGTCAGTACCGCTGTACAATGTACAGGGTGGAATTCAGGAAATGTAAGCCTTGAGTAATATTTAAACAAGTGCACATATCACAATTAATGAAAAAAATTATATGTACTAGATTGTCTGTTAATGTATAACTGATAGTTTAGAACTGATTAAGTTACTGAAACGATCTTGAACATATGAAGCACTACCCTTTTATTCCACCCTAGCTATCGATGTGTAAATAATATGCTGAAAAGTAAAAATAACACACAGAAATAACCAATAAACAATGAAAATAATAAATAAACAAATTAAGATAATAAATAACCTAATGATAGTAATAAATAATACGCTGAGGAATGTGAATAACCCACAGAACTATAAATAACCCAGTTAAAAGCATAAATAATATGCTGAGATGCATAAATAGCACACTGAAAATAATAAATAATACACTGAGGAATGTGAATAGCCCACAAGATAATAAATAATACGCTTAGAACACCATCAGGAAGGACCAGGCGCCATACTTTCAGAACTCGCTAAGTGAACGTAAGTACTTGCGCTCTATTTTCTCGTCTATGATTGGTGGATTTTGCTTGAAAGGCCGTCAATGATTGGCTGATGAACTTACGATCTCTTAACTTTTTTGAAAGTATAGTGAACGTAAGTACTTACGCTCTATTTTCTCGTCTATGATTGGTAGATTTTGCTTGAAAGGCCGTCAATGATTGGCTGATGAACTTACTATCTCTTAACTTTTTTGAAAGTATAGGCTATAGAATGTGATGTGTTAGGGCAGGACGCACCTGGAGGTGTCGTGGGGGTGGCGGGGGTAGAGGCCGTAGGGGTCATACAACGAACTGCTGCCCCCCATCACACGACTGTGGGGGGTTAGCAACACGTCACATAAACACTCAGTGGAACACATTAGTGCAACAACAACTCGTGGTAATGTGGAAAAAGGTGTGTAGAAATTAGATAAAGTGGTGAAGAAATTAGATAAGGTACGGTAGTGTGAAAACTAGATAAAGTAGTACTATAAAAACTAGATAAAGTAGTGTAAAAATTAGATAATTAGTGTAAAAATTAGATAAAGTAGAGTAAAAATTAGATAAGGTAGTGCAAAAATGAAATAAAGTAGTGTAAAAATTAGATGAATTAGTGTAAAAATTTAGTAAAGTAGTGTAAAAATTAAATAAAGTACCTGTTGTAAAAAATAATAAAGTAGTGTAAAAATCAACAAAGGAGTGTAAAAATTGAGCAAAGTAGTGTAAAAATTGAATAAAGTAGTGTAAAAATCAATAAAGGAGTGTAAAAATGAAATAGAGTTATGTAACATTGGTACAAGGTAGTGTGATATCACACAACATGATAGCATTACAACTCAGCAGCGAAAAATAACACTAGGCACTAACAACCATAGACATGAGGCACGTGACTGCTATTTTTATAATTTCACAACAACGACAACATTTTAGGGATTTTCATAATTATGAGTGTAGTTTGAGGGCCTTGTTTACATGACGTTTGAGGGACTTGTTTACATGACGTTTGAGGGACTTGTTTACATGATGTTTGAGGGACTTGTTTACATGACGTTTGAGGGACTTGTTTACATGACGTTTGAGGGACTTGTTTACATGCTACAAGGGTGGATTAGTACGGACATCCACACAGCGATCTCCGACTACTGGCACACAACAGAAAGCACAGCAAAGCCCAAAAGAGTTTAATGTTGGCTAGACCAGAACGCTGTCGGAAGTTCAAGCCACTTCAAGAAAAACTGGGTGAAGAATTTACCAATTTATGATAATTCTTCTCAATGGGAATGGACCGAAAGCAAATTGATTATTGGTTTTTACAAATATCAGCTCTTAAAAAAAGAATAAAGATTAACTTATAGTTCTTCTAGCAAAAGGCTATCGAGCAAGACGTTATACAGAAACACAAACATACAATAACTTTTGAAAAGCATACGAATACAATACCATGCAGCATACCTACGCTGTGTGACCAATAGAATATAACACAGCATACAACAAATCGCAGGCAGCATACAAATAGAATCTCATAAATAAGCTGCACCTGTGCACTCTTTCCCAACTCAATTTACATGCAAAATCCTAATCAAGTGGGCAAACTGCGCAAGTGACACGTGAACATATTTTTACGAGTTAACGAATTATATTTCATACAAATGTGGAGACAACCAAATCAAGAATTGCCAAATAACATTCAGAAAATATTCTTTTCTAATTAGACTTTAAGTTAAGATAGGCTTTAATGGGTTCCATGTGAATAACATAAAATAATTTCCCACATGCGACATGCCAGTGCAAGGGATGCCACACATCCAGACATGGCGGCCACGGCACAAATATATTGGGCGGCACGTGTGAAATGATTATACAGTGAGTATAACTGACGACGAGTCGCAGTTATAGTGGCTCCATATAACTATAACTTCACTATCATACAATTCCAGTTATATGATAGTGAAACTAACATTATAGCAGCAAATAAGTAGAAGTAAACACATGTCCGGCCATCACCTGGAGTTGAGGGTAGCCTTCTTGACCTGGCTGCATATAACTAAAACTTCACTATCATACAACTCCAGTTATATGATGATGAAACTAACATTATAGCAGCAAATAAGTATAAGCAAACACATGTCCAGCCATCACCTGGAGTTGAGGGTTGCCTTCTTGACCTGGCTCCATATAACTATAACTTCACTATCATACAACTCCAGTTATATGATAGTGAAACTTACATTATAGCAGCTAATCAGAATAAGTTAACACTGGTCCAGTCATCACCTGGAGTTGAGGGTAGCCTTCTTGACCTCCTCGGCAGCAGAGCTGCGGCCTGACCGCACGCTGCCGCGCTCGTCAGGCAGCGAGTGCGGCGCTGACGGCGCTGCTGCTGCCGCTGCTGCTGCATACTGCAAGGGAGGCTAGGGTTACACATCATCTTATCTTGGCTAAAACTAATATAATAACATGAATAGTCAAGATATATTTATTCACATTTCCATGTATGTATCATAATATAGACGCATTACACTCGAGAAGTCATCCTGTCACATACATAAGACGAATTACTTTAATGTCTTCTTTATGACAGTGAGAACATCAAACTTACATACATTACAAAAAGAATAATCAAGCTAATCTAGGTAGAAAATAATGAAAATATAGCTAACGCCATTTCCAAAAGGATTATACCACAACAGCAGGTAAAATACGCAGTCATTACGGCGGGAGTATTTTAATTCAACCAGCAGAAATCTAAATAATATCATCAAGAGTACATAAAAATTTCATCACAATAAAATACCATTCTGACAGCACTGTAGCCAAACTTTACTTAGATTGATATTGGATACCGATTACTCGAGAATAAGGATCATTCATGAACTATATACATATATTATACCTACGAATATACTGGCAAATGATTGCCGTGGAAAAGGCTATCAGTGAGGAGTCTATATTATATATGAGCCGTATATAATATATACATACCTGCGGGTAGTGTTTGTAGTAGTTGTGGCAGTAGTCGCGGTACTTGGGATGCTGCTCGTAGTAAGGCGCATAGTAGTTGTAGTAACTCATTAATGATTGGTGGTCGTAGTGGTCGCTGCCAGCTGCGCGACGACTGCTCTTGTAGTAAGCGTCGTAGCCTGGGTAACCTGGGCAGGTAAACAACGTGTCATTCATACCAGCGCGTCATACCATGATGCTCATACCAAGACAGTACGTCATACCATGACACCTCTCATTAATGTACGTCACAATGATATTCTTATTAATATTCACACGAATATTCCTGATAAAATAGCGGCGTGGCTTCATTGGCCAGCTTGATACAACAGCGCGTCGTCGACATAATTTTCTGACATTTTATCATGATACTCATACCCTGAATCATCTCGGAGCATCAACGAAACAACTGATTCTATGATGTTCTTACCAAAGAATAAATAATTAGCATTACCGAAACTATAACCACCTTTGCATAGATAGTAACAGAGCAGTCCGCAAGCAAATTGAGTTGGAGCTTAGAATCTCCGTACTTTAGTGTGCCGAAGTCATTAGTTTTCTCAGGTTAGGCTAGGGTGAAATAAATATTTGCAGGACTTACTGGACACCTTGCATGCAGATATTGGTTTTAATGTCAAATGATAAAGAAATTATTTCATACAAATCATAGCAGGATTCCTGCTTTAAGCTTAGCTAAGGCGAGAGATAATGTTCGTCATTATCACACGCTTCACTATCAGGAGTAGGCGATAACGCGCCTAGTGTGGTGCCTCTGGACCAGCTGCACCATCACCTCCCCCACACCAGTCACTACCAGCACCACCATGGATGCTGGTAGGAATAACACGGCAGAGAAGAGACACACTACATGTATACGTCTATAATTTTCATTGCGAGTTCCACTACACACTACATGTACGTCTATAATTTTCATTGCGAGTTCCACTACACACTCCATGTACGTCTATAATTTTGATTGCGAGTTCCACTACACACTACATGTACGTCTATAATTTTCATTGCGAGTTCCACTACACACTACATGTACGTCTATAATTTTCACTGCGAGTTCCACTACACACTACATGTACGTCTATAATTTTCATTGCGTAATTTTTTGTGAGTTCCTACCGAATTTCGCGGCAAGTTAAGAAAGAAAACACGCTCTGTATTTATTTCCGCTGAGATGAAAACGCGACGAATAGCTCGTCCTCTTATGCATTAATACGATTACCTTCAAGTGCCGTAATCTAAACTAATACAATCAACGCGTATTTGTACGTTACCTTTCTTGAAGGTTACTACTTTTGCCGGCATTGAAGATGTTGCAGTAGTCTGGCTACAGCGTGACGATGAATATGGGCTTTACAGCGAACTTTGTTAAACTAACATTGCTCAGAGGTTCTTTAAAAAGTCACCTTTCATCAGTGTCGTAAAAATAACAACCGTCAGGCAATGAATATGATAGTAGTGATTATTATACCACAAAGCAGTTCAGTTAAAGAATAAGAAACACACACGGAGTAGAGCTACAGATGATGACGTGAGACGTGTGCATGTAACATGTTGCGCACGACTAAGAATTGTACAGCTTCTGAGGAGCTGGCAACGAGGAAAACGTGGGATTAACGCTGCTCCGACACCCACTTCCTTGTCGGTTGAAATATTTATTTTATACCACCAATATTTTTTACAATATATCTTGTACACTCGCACAAATTAGCCACCACATACATTGAAATTAGATGATCTTGCAATGCCGAGTTCAATATCAAGCGCTGTTGACTCTAGCAAAACACGCAGTAAAATAACGTGCAGCGACATCATTAATCAATGATAATCGTTAGTCTCTAGCTCCTCGGTTTGTTTTAACCCCCACCACCTCACTGACTGACATATAATACAATTGATGTTATATGCACGAAGCGACATACCAGCTAAGAGGTAACCGATGCTCCGAACTTCAATTAGTTAAATGAAGGTAACATGGTAAGAATAACTATCTCGTTAGAAGCAACTATTGAGTAGCAGTAACTATTAGGTAGGAGTAACTACATCGTTAGTCACTCCTACCTAATCAACTACCGAGGCTTCAGTCCCACGCATTAACCCTTTACGCCCTGGCGTGACGAATTCGTCACACAGAAAAAAACATCGGTTTTCCAACAATTTCACGTTTTCTGTCATTTTTTCGAAAAATTCACATGAAAAAGTGAATTTTACGATTTTTATCCCAGAAATTCAGGGCGTAAAGGGTAATTAACGGTAAACTTGGGAAAACTCTTCATACATATTAGGATCAACGTTACAGCTCGCAACGAAAATTTAATGCCATCATATACTATCAAGATGAATTTATTGAACTTCAGTTGATTCACTATTAAATCGCATGATATTCTAAATTCAACATCGGTTTTGCCTAGCAACAAGAGAAATGTGTAGGGAAAATACAAGAGGGGAAAAACTTGAGAATGGAAATTTAAATATAATTCGGGGAAACGAATGCAAACCGAATATAAAACAATTGTAAAATGGGTGGAAAATGTTTGGATAAGGAAGTCAAATTGGAAGAGAAATTATTGTGACGAACCACTTAAAATGTACAAAAAATTCATGGGTAATGTGCGATACTTTCTTGTAGCGCAAGCGCCAAATAAATTAGCGCGAAAAAATCAATAAATTCCGAAGCATAACTTGTGTAGGTACCTGCTACAGGTGTGATGCTTGTATAACTACTGCAGGTGTAATGTTTGTATACCTGCTGCAGGTTTTAAGTATGTTTGCATCACAACCCAGACATCCATTGTAGATCACAGAGCAACACAGATCACAGTTGCGGTGAGAAGGACAATTTCTGTTAGCAGAACTCGAATCTTAAGAGCCAAACTAAGTAGACATATAACAACATCACCAGTGCTGGGATAACATACCTTGTAAGGAATGTCTTGAAACCTCTCCAATATTGTTAAAGATTTCAACCAACACGCATTTCTGGGATTTTTTTCTTATTGACCAAACAGCTCTGGGAGGCAGCAAGCCTAAGCAGGTGGGAAATGTGCAGTATTGCAGAGAGCTGAACAATTGAGAGGGGAGGGAAAGGGCAGTAACAACTTAACCCACAACTGCCCTGCCTATACAGCAACCTAACCCACAACTGTCCTGCCTACACACCAACTTTATCCCACAACTGCCCTGCCTCCACAACAACAAAATTGAGTCTCAGGACCAGAAATTTTTACAAAATATCTTGTGTTGTGATGGTAGAACCTCTAACTTGACCTAACCCACCATGTGTGGTAGCTCTGCTGTTGCTGGTCCTGTGAGAGGCAGCGCTGTCAGGCCGTGGGAGGGCAGGAGGTGGCAAGGCACGCTCCTCCCCTACAGGATCCCTGCGCCTCCTATAGCGACCTTCATCTCCTTGCCGGGTACTCCTGTTCAGGTCAGGGTCACGGGACCTGTAGTGCCGCAGATCCTCTTTTGAGTATTTGTAGTCCTCTGCTCTAGATTGAATAACTCCAACTTTAATATGTCTTTGGCTTGAAGTTTTAGGATGTCTTTTTGATTCTTCTCCAGAACCAAATGCCTCATTGTCCCTTTGCTTGTGTTGTTCCAAGTCACTACCTTTGTACAAATCTCTTTGATCAAAATCCCTGTATTTTCTTCTCTCACTTTTATCCAAATCAGCATCTCTCTTTCTGTCTCTTTGATGCATTTCTTTGTTTTGTTTTCTCTCTCCGTCAAAATGTCTGGATTTAGAATACAGGCTTCCTCGTGCATCATCGCTGTCATGGCTGCCATCCAGCAACTCCTCCATCTGTTTATCATGGCCTTCAAGCCTCCTTTTGTGACCATCAAGCCGTCCACTGCTGTTGGCATCAAAAACTTCCCCCTGTCTTGGCCTTTCATGTCGAGCCTGCCTTTCTGTATTATTGTTTTCACAATCATTCTGATCTCTTACTGATGCGGAGTCCTGATACCAGTGACGTGAGTTATCAGCGTGATACTCTTGCTTGATTTTCCCTCCTTCCTGATATTTATTCTTGAAAGAACCATTATCTTGATAGATATTATCCCCTTTTCTTAGGTTCCTACTTACACTATTGTCCACTTTTCTTAGGTTCCTACTTTCATTATTGTCCACTTGTCCAATATTCTTACTTTCATAGTTTTTATTTAATGCACCAGAAATTCCATCATCCATCCTTGTATATTGTTTTCCAAGACAAACATCTTGAGCTTCATCTTTATCATCACTCAAGGCATTACTGGCACCCTGAGGGTCCCCAAGCTGCACCATGCTGCTCATCCACAACTCCTTGCATCAACACACATCATTGAATTATTTCTACACAATCTTAGATAAATGCCATTAATTTATAACAGCCCTAAAAATAAAACTTAATAATTTTGTAATTTTCTAACTGAAAAAAAGAATAACTTATCATGAATGCATCCAAGACTTGACAAATGTCAGTCACTGAAAGGATGAAAAATTTTCAGAAATTTTAGGGAATGCCACATTGAGACCTGTAGGTCTAGCCTGATCACACAAAAATAATTGTAAAATGCAGCTGAGAGCCTGAAGTTTATTGTTTATTCTCCTTTTTCATTCACAAAAAGAAGCCTATAAAGCAATATAATAGAAAGAACATTAAATAAAATGGCAAAATATTCCGAGTGAATGCCCATAATCTAAAAAAAAGCAAAGTCTTTCACCTCATTCAAATGATAATATGATAATGACAAGAAGGACAGGAGCTTTCCCAAGATAAAGTAAACAAGTGCAGATTGTAAGGCTGGAAAAATTAAGCACAAAACTTTGTACAAAATAAACTTTGAGACAGTAATGGACAATTTCAAGCATAAATTGCAACTTGCAAGTATTATGAAGGCTTATTGAAGCTAGCCAAAACAGTAAAGTTGACTTATGTTTTGTCCCATATTTACTGTCAGAATCATGAGAATGTCAGGCTAAAATGCTACAAGCAGCTACATTGATCAAATTTTGAAGAAGTTGAAATTCTTTTCTTATTAATTCTGAAGTCATGTGGTTATTTAACAATATTATATGAATACAATATGATCTTCCATCAATGATAAAGTATAAAGATATTCTATGTTGCTATCAGTAAAAAAATCATCTAAAACGCCCTATTTGCTGTATAAGCTCCATTGCAATATTACAGGTTCTCCATACAAAATTCAGTAACGGTAACACCGATCATTCATACTTCCACTTCCAACACTTTATTAAATAGTTCTCCATGCGTCGCACCAAAAGTTGGCAGTCGTTCCACACTAGCTACGTCGTAGGTATTCAACCACCTTGGATAAGCATTCACTAAATTCAAGACAACTTAATTATTGTAAGAGAAGCCACAGTTCCGTTGAGACAGCATAAAGGATTTCATCATCTATAATCTCCCAGACTCCCACTGTTCTTTACAAAGCTCAGCTCGGAGTACGGCTAAGTTATGTAATCATTAATGTCAATGTACTTCAAAAGTTCTAACACTTGTCTTGTGTCGCTATGCAGCAACTCTATGTTGAAAGCCTTACCGATAAACTATTATCCCCTCAGCCATATTAAAACGTCCACTGACACCACACATGAGGAGGAAGACTCATCACTAAAGCACTAGGCAAAGATAGGTTGCACATGATTTCTCCCGTCACGCGATGTGCCAGAAGGGAGGCGAGTCAGCAGATCGCACCAGCAGCCTTCTCACCATCACATCTCAAGGTGCACTGGCAGCCAAAATCGGCAGTAGGCAGGCCGCAGACTGTGCTGCAGCTGTTTCCAGCCATGCTGTCAAACAGGTCAGCCATTTCGCTGAGCCTGATAGCTCGATACCATCTAATCTAACGAAACATTCCTTTATTTCAAAAGAAAACTAAATAAAGTTTATAGATAACATACGAATTAAATAACAACTGTACGTATTTTCACAATAATTCAACAGTATTTGCCAACGACGGATCAACAAATTAGACCAGCCGATGTTAAGCCACGTGGCAGTACGACGACAAAACGTCAGCTGAGCCGTACGTCAGTGCGGATAGCACGGCTGTAGTACAGCGCTAGATACAAGATCCAATATTTCCATAGTGTTGATTAGAACAAACCTAATTGCACGTTATGTCTGTAGAAATTTTCAAGCAGAATGTACAATGTTTTGTAATTAAACATGCTCATTCAGAAAGCTTGCAAACACGTACAGAGGCTGATAACTAGGACCTAATAACGATTGAATAAAAAAAGTATTCGACACCCCAAGAAACAACAAAAGTTGAGAGCTGTTCTCTAATGAATTGCGATACTGAAAATCAGTAGTGCACAATCTTCGTAGTTATGTAACTAACACAGCAAAAATGCATCTAGACATGCCATGTGATGATATGAACTACGCTCCGTCCTCTGTGACCTTAGCAGCAAGCACGCAGCGGTACTGTGCTTCGCTTCGGGACCTGTTGGCGACTAATGAGAAGGCAGCGGTAATGAGGCATTAACTGTTGGGAAGGCGGCAATGCGGCTTAACTAATGAGAATAATGCGGCAACGCGGCATTTTCTAATTGAAGGATGCGGTAACGACTCACTTACAAATGTGGAGGTGGTAGAGAGGTTTTAACTAATGAGATGGAAGCAGTAATGTCGCATCAACTAATGAGAAGGCGGCGGATACGATGCTTTAATTAAGACGGCCACGGTAATGAGGCATTAGATAATTAGAAAAAGACGGTAATGAGGCATTAGATAATTAGAAAAAGACGGCAATGAGACATTAAGTATTAGAAAAAGGCAGCAATGAGGCATTAACTATTGAGAAGAATGCGGTAATGGGACATTAACAAGATTCGTTAGTCAGCAAGATCCACCGTAAACATTCTCACCGCAAGCACACGTCCTATTTAAACGCAGATTAGTAATGTTAAACCCTACAGCGGAGAGGAGAGGTGATCGCGCAGCTAATATTGAAAAATGTAGAAGACCGCAGGCGCAGGCGCAGGGTGCCAGTGGCTTCCTAACTGAGGGGAATGTAATTATTCCATTGTTCGGGGGGTAAAATAGCGGGAAAATCTCATTCAAAAACAATATTTTCGTTGAGCTAACATTCTTTTTGTCGGTAAAATTTAACATGCCTTAAATTGGGCAAATGCGAACAGGTTTGGCAATCACTGCGCTTGGTCGCCGCAATGTACGCTATAGTCGACCGCATGTTACACAAGTGCAATGCCTGCATAACGTGTCTTAGGGTACGCACACAGTGAAAGCAGGTTGCTAGCGTGCTGGTTACCTGCTCAGGCTGGCGCCTGAAACCATAGAATACAGAAGCCTATTCATACAGGTTTTCACTGTGAACACTTACATTATTATCCTATGTTCATTCTTGTGGCAGGTTGGAGCAGGTTGCCCGCACGGGCAAACCTGCTTTCACTGCGTGCGTACCCTTACTTATAATTGTGATACAATTTATTAGTGGTACCAATAGACTAAACTGTGTTAGTAATACCAAACAGGCTTACCAGTACGGTATGGTTTCAGATTACCACATCGACTCATCACATATGCCGTACCATGCAATGAGAAGGTGTACTTAGGCCCTTGCGGTCAAGTACACGCAACGGTCTAAGTACACGTAGCGGCCCAAGTACACGTAGCGGCCCAAGTACACGTAGCGGCCCAAGTACACGTAGCGGCCTAAGTACACGTAGCGGCCTAAGTGTAGCAGCCTAAGCACACGTAGCGGCCTAAGCACACGTAGCGGCCTAAGAACACGTAGCGGCCTAAGCACACGTAGCGGCCTAAGAACACGTAGCGGCCTAAGAACACGTAGCGGCCTAAGCACACGTAGCGGCCTAAGCACACGTAGCGGCCTAAGCACACGTAGCGGCCTAAGTACACGTAGCGGCCAATTTCTCGTCTGTGATTGGCGAGTTCAGCCTGAATCAGTGATTGGCTGCTGGAGTAACGAACTCAACGTTTTAGTGCAGCCCCAGGACACCAATTCTTGACTCTCACTCAAGTCCCAAGTAAGCCTTTCATGTTCCTTTATTGGGCATCTCCACAAGTTCTGACCCGAAGGGATGAAGGCAGAGTGGCCCAAACGTAGCCAAATGTTTCAAGCAGGGCTGAGAATAGCCTACACACTCCAAGACTCCAATGTGTTGAAATGCACACGTCAAAAAGTTGAACCTCAACGGTACTCGCCTGTCCTAGTCAACATTTAGAATGATACTACTCCATAGATTAATTCAACATTCCTAATGCGCGGCCACTTACTAAATACATACACTAGTTAACCATTCCTAGTGCGCGGCCACTAACTAATTACATACACAAAAAAGAGGTGCCAGAGGCACGGTACTCACCGCGGTCATGGTAGTCCCGATACTTCCAGCGTCGGGACGATGATGTCTGGTCCCAGTCGCTGTCAGCCTCCCACTCCCTGCTCCCCTTCTCATCTCCCCGTCTGCGATCCCTCCGGTAGGGATCATCGCCTCTGTGGTACAATTCGTCTCTCCCTTTACGATAACTTTCGTTGTGTTGACGGTGCAAAGCATCGTCTTTGCGATAAGACTCGTCGCCTCTGCGATAAGATTCGTCACCTCTGCGATAAGATTCATGGTCTCTCCGATAAGATTCGTCGCCTCTGCGATAAGATTCGTCGTCTTTGCGACAAGATTCGTCGCCTCGTCGATAAGATTCATCGCCTCTGCGATAAGATTCGTCTTTTCGACGGTAAGATTTTGGCTGGGCGTCTCTTCCTCTATGGTAGTGAGGATCTTCGGACCTGTGGGGTGGGTCTCGAGACCGTCGTGCTCGGTCGTCCCCACTGGGGACCTGGTCGTCCCCAGACCCCGTAATGCGGGGTGGATAAGAGGGTTCACGGCCCTCCAAGCTGCTGCTGCGGGAGCCCTCACCTTCACCCTCTCTGAGAAACACAACCACGCATGTTTTGCTAAAATGGCTACAAAATTAAAGAGTATAATGGATGTAATCCCTTAAACAGTTTAAAACTATCGAGGTAAGATGTCCTCACTAAATAAAGATAGAAACAATCATCCTCTATAGTTTGAAACACATAACATACCGGTACCGTAACTTTAAATGCAGTTAAAATATAACATGTAAAGGAGTGAAACAATTGACGCCACTTTAGCTAATAATAGTAGTAAGTAGGAAGTAATATAGCACTCAAGATTCAAAACCATTGCAAGACGGTTAATGGTTCTCACCGGTGCTGGTCCTGACGTCGATGGTATTTAGAATGGTTGCGAGTATCGCTGTCACTGCGATCATCGTAGTCGTTGTTGCCCTCACCGTCGTGACGAGCGACATCCTCGCGATAAGCAGACCGCGGTCGCCCGCTGCCCGAATACCTGCATGTGTTATTATCGTTAAAAATACAGGTATCGCATACACTTGGGTCATCAGTCTAGTCAAAGACAGTTTAAAGCTTGCATCATGATCGTCAAACTTTGCTGTGCTGTAACCACATCGATCATTTAAAGTTAAGACAGCCACAGGCTACCTGGAGCCGTGCGGTCAAACCTAACTTAAGGGGACTAAGCGGTCAATTTCTCGTCTAGGATTCGTGGGCTTAGCTTAACAAGCTATCAGTGATTGGCTGACGGAGTTACGAACTCTCAACATATTTTAATGGTACAGTCTGAGCGCAACAAACCTGGCCTTGGGGCGCTGGTCGTCCCTGACGCGGCGGCTGGACGGCTGCGCGTCACCGCGCGGACGGCCAGACTGCGCGCCGCGTTTGCCGCTCCGCCCATACGACGACGCGTCGAACGTCGGCGACGGTGGCGGTGACACTGACGACGTCGAGGACGACGGCTGACGTGCCCTGGACGACGAGGGCAGCTGACGTGCCTTGGAAGACGGTGATGACGCGCCGTTCGACGGAGGACGTAGTGGGACAGAAGCGCCGTTTTCCTCCGAGCCAATGGTGGCGGAGCGTTTAGGTGGATGTAATGGAGGTCGTTGGGGCTGTGAAGTTAAGCTCCCTATAGTCCCACTATGAGGTTGTGGGGGAGGAGCTATGGGGTTATCTATGCCCGTCACAACCCTATCAGTGGGCATGGGAGGAGGATTTGAATGAGTGTGAGGAGGTTGGATCACTTGAGGCTCGGCTGAACTACCGCACCCCGGAACCATGCGGCTAAAGCGAGGCACTCCTGCTTCATCATCTTCTTCTTCTTCGTCGTCGTAAGTTCCCGCGTTTCTGTCTTCTCCGTCCTCATGTCCATCTTTTTGTATATTTTCTTGACTTTTTGCATTATCTTGCCTCTCTTCAAAGCATGATTTTTCTGTTTTCCTTTTACGTTCATCTGGTTTCCCCGCGCATAAGTCATCTTGAGAAGCACCTACATTGTGAGACTGTGTCATTACATTAGTTTGCTTTCCATCACAAGAGTCAGGATTATTGTCGCTCGTCTTCGCGGTTACACTGGTAGAGGAAATGTTGGATCCTGGATCAGGCAAGTAAGGCACATTAGGGATGGCCGAATTGGCGGCGACAAGGTTGATGTTCTTCGGAGGTTGAAAAGGACTTCCTTTACGCGCACGTAAGCTTTTAATGCTGCCTCCTGGAACTGAAATAGCTGTAGGAGGAGGTGCCGTTGAGGCAGGAGTCGGGACAGACTGGACACTTGTTGTTACAGGAGAGCTGGACGAAGAGGACAATACAGCAACTGAAGGAGTTAGACATGTGACGGAAGGAATAGTTGACAGAGACGAGGTCGATGAAGGAGCTACAGGGGCAGCAAAAATGGATGAAGTTGTGGAATTTACAGGAGGAGCACTGGGCATGTACTGAAGACCATCATTGTCGCTAGTTTCTGGAGTTTTCGTTGGAAAATAATCTGGATGGCGATGTTGTTCTTCTTGCTGCTCCATTTGCAAATTTTGATGCTGCCATTCCTGCTGATAGTGAATCTCCAGCTCTTGCTCGTCTTGACGAAGTCGTTCCTGTGGCGGTAGTGACGGGCGCTGTTCTTGTTCATTCTGATCAGTATTTTGTTGCGCAAATGCATGCTGCAGTTGTTCATTTTGTTCTCTCTGCTGTCCTTGCTCATTTTGTTCTATAGGCTGTTTATTTAGTCCTCCCGGTAACTGTCCTGCAGCACCCGTACTCAACGTACCAGAAATCCTAAGTCCGTCAAAGCTGTCCACCTGCGCGTCGTCTCCACACCAGCCATCATCGTTGGACCAGCCCTGGAAGCCACGAGCTCCCCTGGCAGTGGTGGAATCCTGAGAGGCGGAGGCGTTGAATTCACCCACGCTTGCACCGTATATTTTTTGCGACGATTGGTCGTTCGTAGGCGGGATGGCACTTACTTGGGAAGAGTGCAAGTTTGTTGACAGGGTGATATCTTGGGTATTCTGAACACCCCATGCCGGGTTGTTAGTAGTTGCTACTTCCAAGACGTCTGAAGCAACGCCCTTTGCAGCACTGAACATCACTCCCCACCCCTTGGCAGCAACGTCGGTCACAGCTTTTACAGCTGCCCCAACGTCGGGCTGGTGCCAGGCTCCCCCGCTGTGAGTGATAGGTGCAATAGCAGCTGCAAAGCCTACTTCCTCTGCTTGAGAGCCGACCATAGAGTTTGCTTTGGTTTCACCAGAATCGTTCTGCTCAAAATAAGGATCTAAAAGTTTCCCTTCAACTTGACATTCAGGTAGAGCATTACTGGAAGTTGAGTAATTTTCAGTACATGAACTTTCCACTTCAAGTTTGTCAGAACTTCCTTCATCAATTTGACCAAAACTTTCTGCTTCTGGATGCTGAAGTTCACTACCAACTCCATCAGGATTTATCAGGGAGGGATTTGCTTCAACCATCTCGTCTCCCCAATCATCCCCCCAGTCACCCTCTACTGGTTCCGATTCACCTCCATCTTCTGGCATCTCATCACCAAAGCCAGAAGTTGTCTCGACTTGCTTTACATTACTAGGTTTGGAAAAATCATCATCAACCACCCGAGTGTCAGCTGTGACTTCAGGACTAAAACCATAGAACTGAGAGGCAGCATCAGAGACCACATTAGCATCAGTTTGCTGTCCCTGCTGATGATTGTAGGGGTAACACTGATCTTCACACTGACTGCCAGCTATCTCTTCACGACCTCTATTATAATTTTGCTCCTGATGATATGGATTGGCTTGTTCATGATGATCTTGGAGTGGTTGCTTCATAAATTGTCGGTCTTGCTCATCAAGGAAGCAGTTCTCCTGCTGATGACTTTTGTCATTCGTCTCTTGTTGCAAAGCAAGGCCCTCATTTGCTTGTTTAGTTTGGTTGCCTTGAGTATCTTGCTCATTTTGTATTCCGTAAGTCTGCTGAGTGTGCTGTTGCTCTATTAAATGGCGCATCTGGTTATCATGTAGTAGTTTATCTGCAGGCTTCTGTTGATTATCTTGCTGAGACATGTCCTCCCACCAGTCAGACCACTCAGACTCTGCGCTGGGCTGATGCCTCTGCTGCAGGCTCCCCTGCTCTTGGTTTGACGGCAACTGCTCAAGAATTAGGTTGGCTTGATGTTGCAGTGCGTGATTTGACTGCAGCTCATTTGATGCCTCATGCTGAACAGTAGAGTAAACTTGTTGCTGTTGTTGTGACTCATGTGACTGCTGTTCATTTGTTTGTAGCTGTTGCTGTGTCTCAAATGACTGCTGCTGCTCATGCGTTTGTTGCCATGTCTCATACAATTGTTGCTCATTCGTTTGTAGCTGTTGCTGTATCTCGTGTGACTGCTGCTCTTGCATTGGTAGCTGTTGCTGAGTCTCATGTGACTGCTGCTCTTGCATTGGTAGCTGTTGCTGAGTCTCATGTGACTGCTGCTCTTGCGTTGGTAGCTGTTGCTGAGTCTCGTGTGACTGCTGCTCTTGCGTTGGTAGCTGTTGCTGTATCTCGTGTGACTGCTGTGGTAGCTGTTGCTGAGTCTCGTGTGACTGCTGCTCTTGCGGTGGTATCTGTTGCTGTATCTCGTGTGACTGCTGCTCTTGCGTTGGTAGCTGTTGGTGAGTTTTGGGTGGATGCTGCTCTTGCGTTTGTAGCTGCTGTGTCAGGTTGGCGTCATGGTGAGACCAAGTCTGATGAGTCTGTTGTTGATCCGGCAGAAACTGGTGCTGGTAATTATACGGTTGTTGATTTTGATTTTCCGTGTGATAATCATAATGGGAGTTAGAATTGTTATCTATTGGTTTGATTTCATGTTGAGATTGTTCCTGATTTTCCACAGTACTCCAATCAGCTTCCCAATTATCACTCCAAGCAATATCAGTGCCATTGCTATTGTTGTTGGAGAAGTCAGTAGCAGTGTTCTCAGGAGTGTTTAGGAAAATAGGATTGTTACCAGGTTGATGGTACTGCTGGGCTGCTGCAGGCTGGTGCTGGTACTGCTGCACTGCAGACTGGTGTTGGTACTGCAGCACTGCAGGCTGATGGTACTGCTGCACAGCTGGCTGGTTAGTATGCTGATTATTAGGCTGATATTGATCTGTATTTCGATGAAGATGAGGCTGAACAAAGCCTATAGGCTGTTGAGGCTTTAATGGCTGATGTTCAGCAGCTTGGTATGGCTGGGACTGGGTATTGTATGAAGAATTGGATGACTCACCCCAGCCCCAGTCATCCCCGAAGCCCCATCCAGCATCCCCAGCCTGTGGAGGGCCAGGGGGTTTATGGGTGCCAGTTTTTGCTGCAGCTCCCCCATCACCAAACTGGAAAAAAAGTTATTCAATTGTTGCAACAGAATTATTTGAGTGTTTCTGTTCAAAAAAACTTCAAATCTTGCACTCTTGCTTGCACAACTCACACAGGTGTGCCCACAATTTTATTCTGAATTCTAAATGTCTGTCATTAATGTTAAAAATTTCAGGGAAAATATTTCAAATGTTATCTTATAAAAAAAGGAAGTACTGTACAGTTAGTACACAAATGGAAAGGATTTCCTTAATCTGGATTTTTGTTGCTGGCAATACAAGCATCACCTTCCATCCTTCCAAATTCTGCACCATGGCTCTTAAGGATGTAATTGGGGGACAATACACAAGGTTCCTACAAAAGTTGTAGGACATAAGCAAATCAGAGAGCTGCAGCACTTATTTTGACACAGAAAATCTCCAAAATTAGGTGACAATTTTGTATGTATTAAAATTAGTTCTCAATATATTTGTAAAAGAAAATTTTGTCCAGATATGCTAGAAAATTCAGAGGAAAGTTAATTTTCCAAGCACACATAGAATTTTCTGCTACTGAGAGCGAGTTAAAATACATAATTAAATTAGTTGAAATACGTACAATATTTTCAAGAATATAATATTCTACCAGTAACAATGCTTGTAACAAAATCTACACACATGATGTTGCGTGGCACTGGGGTTCTGTTGCTGGCTGATGCCCACTCTATGGCCCCCCTTCAGACGTTGTCTGTACATTGTACCACCAACTTGCCAGCTATTAGTCTGATCTGTAAAAATAACAATAAATTAGGTTAATGTAATTTATTCTCCTAATCAGGTATATTGCAACATAATACTAATTTGCCAACCTATTATTCCTTCAATTTGATTCAATATCTTTAGGTTATTTATATTAGTTTATCAGTTACTGCCTCTTCTTTGATTTACATAATGAAGAAGTGTTGATATTGGTGTCTCAGCCACAACTTTGCTTTGAATAAGTAGTAGTTGTATTTTAATTATTCACTAATTTAGAGAGAATGCAATACATGTCACAATCAGCAGGTGACAGGTGATTGACTCAGATTAAGAGTAACACTGCTTTGGGAAACCCATTTCATGTGCCTTGCATGGAAGTAGGATATTTCCAGCTAGGCCCCCATTTTCCTGAAGCACAAAATGTGTATCAGCTGTTGAAATAATAGCATTGCTCAGTTGTAATTCTAAGTGAATTGAAAAAAATGCCTTGTCAATTCATTGAATTCAACATACTTAAGTTCCTTTGAAATATCTCAATCGAGGATTAGGATTAACTGCACTGCTTTGGTTCATATTATTCATACATATTTTTTGTTGTTATGTGTTGCCTTCTCAGACTTAGTTACAGTTGAAGTTTAATGCAAGAGTAGGTTTAAAGTTAAATGGACCCCCCCCTGCCCCTGAGCCTGACCTGGTTTTTGAACATGTCTTGTTTCTCAATGTATACAGAATACTTCACTTTCCTGCCAGTTCTTGTTGAAATTGTCCTTATTTTGATTATTAAACTAAGACATGAACACAACAGATATAACGGATTGTGGTTTGGAATGATTGTATGGGAGAAGAAGACAATCAAGCATCAATCAAACCATTGTTTTAACAAGCCTAATACAACAAATACTCTCAGTTCAGCCACAGTGACCTGTGACCCACACTGAGATTCCTACACACTACAACATTTTCAAGACAAATATCTATAGGTATCCCTGAGACCCTGAGTCCTGACTCATAACATATTAACATAGTCATCACAAATTAGACAACTTGGTGGACATTTTTGGTGGATACTTCAAATCATCATGAATGATAACTTGCAGATATTAATTACTAATAGTAATGGTATCTTCAAAATCAGGGCCTTTAACTTTAAGCTTTATTTACTGTTTACTGGTACTCTGGTGTCTGGTAGTGATTCAAGTAAATTTTAGCCTAGGATTTCAATATAGAAATTTGAGAAAGTTTAAATCTGACCCGGCGTCAGTTTAAAATATCTGAAATGCTATTGATTTATATATAAATTTTGCTCTTTGGCCTTTGCCAGACTGACACAAGGAGTGAAGGACAATTTTGGGTTCCTATCACTAGTATCAGGAACAGGAACACAAGTCAAGCACCAATGCACCATATATACAACTAGGTATAGAAAATTTTCATGCACAAGATAATGGATGCATTTAACTACAGCATATATGAAAGTGTTCAACTCCAAGTTTCAGCGAATAAACAGCAACAGTCCGACTGTCCGAGTTGCAGACTTGCTTGTAAAGTTGTAGGTACATTCACGCATTTCGCATTAGTCAATAGCCCAAATTAAAGGCTAATAATAATGGTCTTTCACACGCCGTAAAAATTGCCAACTACTACAGAAATACCACTACATTTATTCACTAGAATAGAATTGTGGTATATACTTGACAGTCGACATTCATATTTAATTAATTTCCTCATGTTAAGAGCCAGGGATAAAGATTAGACTTAGCCTAGGTAGAGAAACGCGTTTACAAGAGTTATGGGAGGGTGATAATTGGATGTCGGCTATATTTTGCTTCATACCATTAAATACCGTTTGCAGAGCCAAAAAATCTTGTGTTTCTTGGTTATCCTATTAATAAGTCGAATTCATTTTACGTCAATTTCACGTTGAGTGTCGGCAGCGACATCTGAGTGAGTTTGTGACTTGTCAGCAACATCCTTCACTGGCAACTACATGATGCCATAGACAAAGTTTTCGTCTTGGATTAATTTTCTCTAGGTATGAAATTGATGGCTAATAATAAGTAAAATACAGAAATATGTCGCTTAAATAACCTCTCTCATCCTACAGGTTCCACTAAATCGTTCACAATAACATTTTTCGAATTTAATTGTGGTAAAAAATTGCTGCGGTATGGCAGCTAGTAATATATTGAACTTTTGAGAGAAATGTGAAATGAAAAGGTGTTTTATTACTTACTGTTTATTAGCTTTCGCTTTCGTATGAGATCCATTCATTATTGAAATTTTCTATCTTTTCTATTCGTACACAATTAGCATTTTTACCTTTGATGTATTAACTTCGTTTACATACCATCCGAGTTCTTAGTTTGACACCTGTCTAAAACCTATCAACTTGTCTGAAATTGTGCTGAGTGGTGCTTTCGTCATAAAGAATCTAGAACAAAATTATATATTAATGATTTATCGTAATATTAAACGATACTAATTGGATTTTAAAACAAACTACCACAGATTATTGAAGCATTAAATTATATAAGATTAACTTCATTCAAATTCAACACCTTTCTCAGGCTTTCTGCGTGACTACGAGTGCAAAATCAAATCGAGCTCAAGGTAAATTTAAATTATGATTTCATACATTTGAAATACCATAGCGTAATGCATGTTTTATTTTATTTCTTTGAAATATTTCAATGATTGAAACCATACATTTCTACTTATAGTAATAATTGAGTTAACAGTCCATAGTGGCAAACCAGAGATTTTTTAGAATCAGTGCATTTTTAATTTCCTCAATTAAGTACTCAATATTTTAAACCAATTTCTTATGTATGATAATGCTGGTATCCATGATACTTTACTCAAGTTTACTGGTCTACTTATAGTAATCAAAATTGAACTTGTGGGAGCATAGGCCTAGTGGCAAAGCAGAGAGTTTTTTAGATTCTCCCAAAAGTTCATTTTTGAGTCCTAAAAGTAGACCAGTAAAGTATCCTGGATACCAGCATTATCATCTATAAGAAATTGGTTTAAATCTTGGGTAAATGAGGAAATTAAAAATGAACTGATTCTAAAAAATCTCTGGTTTGTCATTATGTGCTTATTGTGCTAGGCTGCTATATCTAGGGCCTAGTACCTATATCTATATGGCTGCTGATATGAAGCTTGCATTGCACGATTGCAGTGGGAGTGGAGTGAGTGGACAGTGGACACTGGACAAGGTCGTTGTAAATGCTCATTGGCTGTTCATGAAATTGACATTGGACTATGAAGTGTGTAAATATTTAAAGTGTAGACAGAATATTCTAAAAATTTGCACTGTCAAAGTGTCAATGACATATGTTTTATTAATTTGACAGACTCACTCTCGCTGAAGTTTTGAACATCAAGAAACGAAGAAAGAACCTAAATTTCATTTTATACATACCCTTCTACAACGTCGTTTGGGATTTGACTCGCCATTTTGAAGTTAAAAATTATATTGATTACAATTAATTGTAATTGATTACAATTAATTGATTATACAATTAAGTACTCAATATTTAAACCAATTTCTTATGTATGATAATGCTGGTATCCAGGATACTTTACTCAAGTTTACTGGTCTACTTATAGTAATCAAAATTGAACTTGTGGGAGAGTCTAAAAAACTCTCTGCTTTGCCACTGTGGTTAACACTTTGTTGATGTGGCAAAGCAGAGAGTTTTTTAGACTCTCCCTCAAGTTCATTTTTGTCACCACTGTGCAGAGAGTGGATGAATATTGCAAGATCTTTGGCGACGCTTCAGTAGCAAAATTTACGCCTTCGGAAGGTCTTGCCAACACATTTAGATTGTAATTAATGCATTTAATATTGGAATTGGGGTGCGTGGTGACCTACGGTCACGACCTTTAAATTGGTCATACACGCTGCCTAAAAACTTTTACTAGCATCAAAAAATTAAAAGTTCACACTCTTATGTTAACAAAAAAGTTCAAATATACCATATTCACAGCTGTCCTAAGAAAAAATATAAAAATTTGACAATCGCAAAAAAGTGAAACCACGTACTAAAACAATTTGGCACATTCACACGTCTTCCCACCCTCCCCTCTCTCAACCCTCCATTCCTCAAGACTCCACTCTTATCATCCTCCTCCTCTCTCTCACCCTCCACACGTTTTCCAAATATCTCTTCACACTCTCAAACATAGCCGCAGTTGCTCCCTCAGACAGACCCGTAATTATCGCCATCCACTCTTTGCTTGTTCTCTCATGAGTCATGCCGGTGTCGTTAGTCTCACCTCTCTCATTCAGAATCACCTCAATCATAGACTGACGCTCTCTCTCATACGCCCCACATTCCATCAACAAGTGCTCTACAGTTTCATTCTCATCCCCATCACACATGAAACATTTATCTTCTCTCCTTCCATTCCACCTGTATGTACGTCCATTCACACCTAGCGCGCCTGCCCTAACACAAAACAGAAGGTCCCCACCTCTACTACCATCATACATACATTCATATTTTGGCATCGCTTTCATCTTATACAGTCTTATCCACTTAGAGTGGATATAGGCCCATAGGGTAAACGCGGTATATTCCGTCACATTAAGGATGCATCGAGAAATGAAAAACTATAAAAAAAATAACCGTATGCGTTACTCAAGTTCTGTTTGCTTTATGTAACTCTCAAAACAACGCACTACGTGTCATCAATGACGAAACGTCGCAAAATGTTGCCATATTTATTTGAAAGCCTTCAGAATGCAAACCTACCTTCAGAATGCAAACCTAGTGGCAAACCAGAGCTTCTTTAGAATCAGTTCATTTGTAATTCCCTCATGTGCTCAAGATTTTAACAAATTTCTTAAGTATGGCAATGCTGGTATCCATGATACTTTACTGGTCTACTTATAGGACTCAAAAATGAACTTGAGGGAGAGTCTAAAAAACTCTCTGCTTTGTCACTATGCAGTGAGTATCAAATCCCTATATTCCATCGCAGTGTGTGGCTATATTAGGCCACTGTGCAGAGAGTGGATGAATATTGCAAGATCTTTGGCGACGCTTCAGTAGCAAAATTTACACCTTCAGAAGATCTTGCCGACACATTTAGATTGAAATTCTTGCATTTGATATATTTGTCTGTCTTTGGCCAACTATTTAAAAAAAAGTAAGGTTTCTGTTTTGTTGGATGGATCAGGATGCAGTGAAGCTTGTCTGGAAATCAGCTGCAATGAGTTCCCACCAAAAAAATGTTAACATCAAGTTTACGATTACGTAGTTGCGGTCACATTAGAGCGGTCCCCGGTCAGACTGCATTATCACATGTTCAGTTGGCACTTGCTGTACAATCAGAGTGTTTTTAGGGTAAAATTAGTTATTTGGGGTAACATGTGCATGCAACCTTGCAAACAAGTTTGTGGCTTGTAAATAGTTTTTCATTACTCAGCATAAATGGCATTTAATTAAAAATTACCCGGCAACGCATCTTAAAATTACCCGGCGACGCTTAGGGCTTAAAAACCCATATATTGGCGACGCTGCATCCACCCTCTGCACCCTGGATATTAGGCACGTGGTGAGGCGTATTCCGTCCGCGCTTCAAATTCTACTGATACGTAATGCCGTCATCCATGTGTTTAAATTCCGTTCACTGTGTGAGGCTCAGTCACTGAGCTGTACTATTGGAATACAACACGGCTTTGACCACTTTTTGTTTTTTTGACAAAAACCCCTAAAACTCAAAAACAATTTGACATAGAAAAATTTTGTCAATGGCTATCAAAGGCCTAATACTGAGGCTACGTAACACAATAGAAAGATTTAAAAAGTTTGCATATCTAATAGGTTAAAAAATTAATAATGTGACCCACAAAAAAGAGCTATTATTTAAAGCCTGTTGGAGTACCCCCTCCAATTTTTTTATTTTTTGGTAAAATAACTCCAGGTTTTGATGCATTGTAGTAGAACTAATCTAGTTACATATGCAAAAGACAAATTTTAGGAAAGTGTCATAGTTTGCAAATGGGGGGTGCCACCCCCCAATGGGGGAACTTTGACCACCTGATGGCAGCCATGACGGGGTAACATTGACCGGCTTGGAAATTAAGTTAAAATTACCATATGTCCCTATATAACATATTTTATGTTTGAAACACCTTTTAATATTTTTTTCTATATGTTTCAGACTCTACAGAGTCTTATATATTGTATTTTTAACTTAATTTCCAAACCGGTGAATGTTACCCCGTCACGGCTGCCATTAGGTGGTCACTTTTTGACCATTGGGGGGCAGCGCCCCCCATTTGCAAACTATGACACTTTCCTAAAATCTGTCTTTTGCATATGTAACTAGAAGAGTTTTACTACAATGCACCACAACCTGGAGTTATTTTACCAAAAAATAAAATTGATTTTACCACCTGGTCAAAGAAACCCCAAGAGCTGAGGTAACAAAGACCATCACTTTTTTTGAAATTACATCAAAACTATGAGAGGCAGGAGCCAGCAATTTATGGTGAGTAAAGCTAGAGTATAGACCTGTTCTTATATATGGTAATTTTAACTTAATTTCCAAACCGGTGAATGTTACCCCGTCACGGCTGCCATTAGGTGGTCACTTTTTGACCATTGGGGGGCAGCGCCCCCCATTTGCAAACTATGACACTTTTCTAAAATTTGTCTTTTGCATATGTAACTAGAAGAGTTTTACTACAATGCACCACAACCTGGAGTTATTTGGAGTTATTTTACCAAAAAATTAAATTGATTTTACCACCCAGTCGAAGAAACCCTAAGAGCTGGGGTAACAAAGACCATCACTTTTTTTGAAATTACATCAAAACTATGAGAGGCAGGAGCCAGCAATTTATGGTGAGTAAAGCTAGAGTATAGACCTGTATTTTGCATGTTTCAATTTAAGTTTAACTTATCTAGTAAAAAAATGGCATCATTTTGAAGAAAAAAAAGTGGTCTAAGTTACCC